CATACTTATGCATGGAATAGGAAAAATTATAAAAATTGAGACGAACCATTGAGAACTTTTTAGAAGCTGCGAAAACTGCAGAAGACTAGGACAAATTAAATCTTCTAGTAAACTATGTGAGTTCTTCAGTTTATTAGTCTATTAGTGAATGTATTTTTACATAGAAGCAGTAGCCATAGTCGAACAGTTATACCTATGTAAAAACACAAAGTGAAATTTTGGCCCGTCATACTTTATCCACTAGAAAACAGTAAGTGAATCTATAGACCAGTACACAAATTTTGATACAATTAGGTGAAGACTGTAATTTTGAAGCAGTCACTACTAAACAGAATAAAAACTACTACATAAGAGATTCATTTATTCGTGGTCTCGCTACATCTCATATTAGGCAAAGACTTTTAGAAAATACGACTCTGAACCTAGAAAAAGCTAGCTCTTTAGAAATGGCTCAACAACAGTCAGAATATTATACCTCAAATTCATACGTAAATTCGATTGTATCAAATCAGTCATCGACTTATGTTCAACAATCAAATGAACGAAAGGATACAACTACCTACAACACTTGCTGTAATTATTTCATAATGTTTTTTTTTTTGTGGGAGAAACAGACACTCTAGAGGTAAATGTCCAGCAAGAGATGCAATCGGTCATTCCTATATGGAAAGATTGGTCATTTCACACAAGTATTTAGGTCGATCGAGAGTATGCCACTGGTATCAACCTGTTTCGGACAAACCCCTCAACCTTTCCTGTTAGTATGAATTTGTTCCTATGTACATACAAGAAACATGTGAGACAGCAAATATGATCCACTAGTAGAAGAAGTTGATTTTCTGGAAGCAAATTTAAATTACACTCATGTACCCCTATCAAATGGAAGAGAAAGCTGGCGATGCGGATTTGTAGTTGGTCACGTGATGACTATCGCGCTTGAGTTCTGGTGTTTTGTAGCATTCTGAATGGTTTCCAGTAACTTCTAAATAATTGAATGAGAAACGAATTATGTGGGAAATTTTCTACGTGTTCAAGCCATCTTAAAGACGTGAAATATTACTAAGCCCAACGTCTTTTAAACATTTTCCTTGGAAATTCTACATAGAGACGTCTTCAACGAGATGTCTTGAAGACGTCTTTGAATCTGTTTTAAATACTTAAAATATCATTCACTTTTAGGCCTGGAGGCGAACCACAAATTTATCGATTCGAAACTTGTTGACATTAAACACAGTTTTTCAAAAGTTGATATCTCAAAATTATTGAGTTCAATTGGTTCGAATGGTAGGTACATTTTTTTGTATAATTTTAGAAGGTATTTCAACTATGTACCCATTGATTGAAATTTTTCCTGTACTTATTGAAAAGGAATTTGTAAATAGTCATTTACTAATAGTTTATTTTCCAAGTCAATATTTAAATTTAATTCACGAAGATGTTTTATATCTAATATGCCATCAAAATACTCATGAAAAGGGTGAAGAATGAACTCTAAGGGTTCAGATATGGATTCCGTAATGGAATGTCTGCTTTACTTGTGATCTTTTTGTTTCCTGCACAAGTTTGTGAAGTAGAGTACAATTGATTCTGGAAATAGAGTTTCGGCTAATGAAGGTCTGAGTAAGAATGCATGAGATCCTGTGTCTAAAGTATTCGAATATTATACTTGCATGATTTTTTGTTTAATCCGAAGCTTGTAATTGAAAATTTTCCAATTGTTCAGCTAGAGTTTCATCAGTAGTTGAAGATTGGTCATTTTCGTCATGTTCAAATATTTGATTATTTGAATTATCAAATTCAGTGTTGTCTTTATAATTATTCTCATGAGTTAATTTTTGGACAGTAAAGTTAGAAGGTTTTTGAGTATGTCCAGTTGACATATTTTTCCTGGGTTGAACGCTTACACCTGACATTGGTTGAGGGTAAGTTTGTTTAGATGTTGATTGATTTTTATAAGTCTGATTTATAGGTTTAAACAATTTTTATTTGTAAATCTTCATTCTCAAATATCTCGGTAACCAAAAGCGGTATTGGAAGAACATTTCCAGAAATTGTAGCTCTTGGTGAGGGCTTCAAGATGGTGTTTAGTTGAAATCGCTAACATTTACGGTTTTTGAGAAAATAGAATTATTTTAGAGCCTGGAATAGACAAAAATTGAAAGTTATAATCAATAAGGTCTGTTCCAAAAACCGTCCCAAGAACGGTTTTGGCGCCACTCTGTATACGAATTTTTTAGTTTTGCGCAGAATCTTGACGGTACATTGTACGGTTTTCTGTCTTGTTGGAACAAAGCTAAAACTTTAAAATTAATACTAATTTGGCCCTGTAACTAACTAGAAACAGGGGATTTACATTCACCGTAGGGGAACTACTTTATTACGCAGTTAGTTTTTTTTGCCTATTTAACTTACTCATATTTATTTCCTTATCTGTTTACTTTTTTTTGTTAGGGTTGAGATTCGGATTTCTCTGTCAGACAAGATTTAGTCGAGTACGGATCGCCGATAGATAAAGTCGCGTCCGGGAGTTATCGATTTTTCTCACACAAGTTAATATTTTTCGGCCATCATTTTCCGATTTTTGTGTCGTGTGCCTATAGCGTACTAATTGACTTCTGGATTTTAGTAAGTACCTAGTACCAACAAAAATTTTTTGGTTATTGGGATTTATTGAATCTTGAATGAACAACCCTTGATTTTTCTAATGTTTGAGTATGGAACAATCCAGAACTTTTTCATTTAAGTTTTTTTTTTTAAATTTAAATAGTGATTTATTTGATTCCCTATAAGTGGGCAATTAGTAAATTATACAGGGTGTCCAAAAATTAGTTTTCTAGAAAATCTTTCGCGCCTATTTTCATCATTATTATTTTTTTTTTTGATTTGGCTTTCCAAAAGTGCGGTAATGCAGAAAGTATAGATAAGCTTGAGTGAAGGATGATTGATCCAGGGATGTAGACCGTTATGAGATAGAATGCTGGGTTCTGGATATGTAGGTACTATTGGAATGTATGCTGGATGTAGGTATTGTTGTAATAGAATGCTAGAGTGTCCCAAAAAAATATTGATTTTGCCCAGTGATCAATTGAATGGCTGCTTAAGCCACTTTACTACCACTAGCAACAACACAACTAACCCAACACAACTAACACATTGGGGTAATTGCTAATGATAGTACACTAAACATTTTCAGCTATTTCCAAAATGATACAAACATCTGCAGGTGCATTACACAATAATACTCTATAGTTGATTGCTATAAAGATAGTATAGCTATCCAGTTATGTTGCTATATTTTCCAAAAAGGCAATTTGAAAGTTTTCAAGTTTTTTGAGACACTCATGGAGGTGTTGGGTGTACTTTTGGAAAGCCAGTCATTAATGTACATTGCATGTCGCATCGAGCAAAACTGCCCGACAGTGATGTTTCCATTTAGGCCTCGTCAGACATACAGGGTGACAATTTGAAAAGTAGTAATCGAGAATATCTCTTAGACAAAAAATACTATGAAGAAGATCTCATTTATTTATTTATTTATTAAGGAATTGCCATTTTATTACATAAGGATATATTTACTCAAAAAGAGTATTATAATGAAATTCTTACGATTCCTAATTAGCTTTCGTAGTGGACCTTAGCCTTTATTGACATTAATGATTTTTAGTTTTTTACGTGATTTCAGTTCATGTAGTTGCCTTTTTGGCTGAGCAACTACCATTTATGGTGGAAGAAAGTGGAGGGTTCATTTATTTACAGAAAAAACTAATCTTAAATATAGTTACAATGGGGTTATTTACAATATTTACAGTATCGAAATGGGCCTGAAGCCTTTATTTACAGTTATGGGGTTTTATTTACATAATACATATCTGATGCATAATGAGTATACAGTGGGTACCTACCTACATAAAAAAAAGATGATTGTTTTGCACTTAATAGTTTTGGCCATTCAAATAATGATCATTCTCAAAAGTTTTTCATCACATTTACGTAACAATCTGAAATGGTGTTTTGTGCATTTCAGCAAGTAAAAGGGTTCCATTCACGTTGAGATCGGTATCGATACATGTTTCAAGTATCAGTCCTTATCTTAATACTAATTTCATTGTGTATTTGTCTGTCTCAGTATCGGTATTAGATGGTATCGCCCGCGTCGGTAACTTCGATACTGAACGCATGCGACTAATACTTGTTTCAACGTGTATCTTGAAGTTTAGTATGTATCGCGCTACTAAAATATAAACAGTGTTCTTTCCAACATGAAAGATCATGAGTTTTGAATTTATATAAATAATATCTATGTTAATTGAACTGAACTTGTGACTGAACTAATGTTTCCTGAGCTCATCTCAACGTGTAGGAGTAGTGCTAAACATGTATCGATACCGATCTCAACGTGAATTGAATGGGGCTCTTTGATAGAAGGATTTATTTATCTCAATACTATTATACCTAATCATCCTTGAGCTACTTCTAGTTAAGCATAATGTTTGGTATTAGACTTTAAGCATTTGGTTGTAGGTAGATGTTTTCAATGACAATTGAAGTTGCGTTTCACTGATTATCCAGGGCAACAAATTATGATTTGATTATTTCTTTTTGGTAATTGGTGTCCCCTGGGGAGGCCGTCCGCCATAATAGGTTAGGATTCCATTTGTTGCACGATTAGACTATATAAGGTAAGTGTAGCAGTGGGGCACTACCGAATACCAGCGAGTCAGCTGCACAACGTGGTTTCGAGTGAATTCAACCTAATAGAGACTTTAATAGAATAGCTGAATGCTCTTCAACTTTGTTAGGCAAAATTGTTTTTGTGTTTTCCAGATGAAGAGTCAAGTGATCATGTTCTATATTGTAACTGAAATGAAATGGTCACGCCTTCAAAGAAAGTATCACACGGGGTAGTTTCTCATTTTAGAAAAATCATTAGGGGGGCAAGCCTCCAAAACAGGAGGGGTCATATTGGAAATAGGATATAGGACAACAATTGAAACAAGATAATGTTTTAAAATCTTTAATTCCACGCAGAAAAGTAACGTCATACACCAACTAAAATTATAAGGAGAATAATATTAACACCAAACAAAATATGATATAGTGGAGTAAAATCACAATGAAATTATGACTTTGAGTGATTCCGAGGTATAACCAAATGAAACCTATATCATCTTGTAGAGGACACTCTGGGGCATAGGAAATGGAAATGTACAACTTTTTTTAGTAGGACTGAACTTTGAAATCGGCCCTTAAACGTGACTTAGCTCGAATTTGAAAAACTACGTTTTTCTAAACATTACCCGCTGTATTAATTTAAGCATACAATCTAAAATTCTGATTTTTTGCACACTTATACTTGAAACATGAGCGCTTCTAATGACAGTTCAGAAATTTCGAAAAGGTTTAAGGTTTTTTTGTTAAAAAGTTAGGAATATAGAATTATCAAAATCGTGCATCTAAAACTTCACCCTGCGGCGAGCTATGTGAATTATTGAAAATTTCTATACATATATATCTAATCAAATGTAGTAAAAACATTGACGAAGTTTTTGAAAAAAAAAATTAAGTCGCTAACTTTAACGGTTATAGAAATATGAATTTTTATCCGGGAGCTTTGAAATGCGCTCTGATGCTGATAGCGGCTAGCGGCTACCATTCTGGAAATCATCTGCGTTAGTGCGTTAACGTTACATCTAGAAATAAAATAAAAAAATCTATAAACATAAAGTAATTGATTGAATCCTTTTTTATGAAGTTAGTTTAAATATTTTCTCCTTCCTCATCCTCATATAAATCAGGAACATTATTTTGACAACTTTTGCAGGAACAATCGCTGCAGCATGTGAAACCCTCTTTCAAGCAGACACATTTATTATTTTGACATAATTTTTCTTCGCAGAAGACATTCATTAGTTGCCTTATACCCATTGGTATGGGATCAGCAGTCATCAAAACAGGCTAAAAAATTCCATTATTCCTAGTCCAACCAAAGTTAACAAGGTCAAGTATAGGCATAATAGGTATATGACTGGATATCCATATACGCAGTTGATATATGCACCTGAAATTTTGTTTATCGCATAAATACAGCTCCTTCGTTATATTATATACACCTAGCTCAGTACATGCTGGTAAAATGCATCATCTGTGGGTAGAAGCAAGTAGAAGTTCAGAAGCGGATTTATTGGAAGTTGTGGTCAATTGATATCTCAATTCATCGAGGGTTTTTAGGGCCTCGTCCTTATTTTTTCTGAATAGGGCCAATGCAAGTTTGGTAGCAATATAAGGTTCCAAGATTTTTAGAAAATACATTTTTTGCCTTTGCATTTGTGGTATCGCATCCTGTTGACACATGCAACGCTGGTAAACATTTATAAACTTCATTTTCCAGTTTCTGCACTATTTATTGAAATGATCCGTTTTTTATTTCCTTGTCTTAATTCCATAAAAAGGTAGGTTTCTTTCAAAGAACTTACTTCAATAAATTCAGAATAGTGGTAAATAAGTAATACCAGAACATTTGCATCTTCACCAACACTTTTTTTTGGTGAAGTATCTGATATTCATATAAGACGTGGATTATAAGTCTCATCATGATTCGATTTCAAATCTTTCAATTCGGTTACACGGTTACACCATCCTTGTTGACAGAAAAGCATAACTCTGGGTTTTCAAAACCACCAGCGATGATCAGAGTTTCTTCTATTTGTCAGCTAAATGTTCCAAAATATAACCAGTTACAAATTTCAATAGGGATTCTTCATTTTCTGACAATTTTAAAAAATTCCGAAACTTCATCACTTTTCTCTTTCCAGAAACTTCATACGCATACGTATCTGCGAAGATACTTCTTCTGCGTCTTTCCAAAGACTTGACCGATAAAAACCACCATTATCCTTAGTGCTTCATACCTACGACCAAGTGAAAGAATTTGCTTCAGAAAAATACATGCGAGTTCATTAAAAGTTAAGTTGAAAATGCTTTATCATTTAGTCCTTGAATAAGTACCATGCTATCTATTATAAGTGAATTGAAGGGATTGTGACCCAAAAATGAAGTTTTATTGCGAAAAAATCTAAGAACAAATATTTGAACCGCATCTTGCTATGATGAACCGTTTTCGAGTATAAGGGTGGTTTAAAATGACAAGCGTCTAGGCTGTGACGTCACACTGGCTTCGGAGGCACAGTTGAAATATGTGTAAAATTTTCCAAGACAAAAGTCAACGATCTCACTTAAAGCAAATTGCAACCACTTAAAGTATAGAGCACGATTCAACCACTGAACAAACAGAAGAATATGATTTCGGCGGTTAGCCGGTGTGACGTCACAAGTTCGCGGGTAATGTTTATAAAAACATAGTTTTTCAAATTCGAGCTCAGTCACGTTCAAGGGCCGATTTCAAAGTTCAGTCCTATTAAAAAAAGTTGTACATTCCCATTTCCTATGCCCCAAAGTGTCCTCTACAAGATGATATAGGTTTCATCTGGTTATACCTCGGAATCACCCACCCTCAGAAAACAGCGAGTTAGAGCAGTGATTTTATTCCACTAATAGGTAAACCCTACCAAACCATCTTTTCTACCAAATTCTATAACATCTTATTTATTGAGGTAGGCAAAGAGGGATACAATTTTAAAAGGTTTTTCTAGGTAGACTATTTAGACTTATCTGCATAATTTATTTATTTATTTATTATCTCTCTGGGGACTCTATTTTGATTGTACGTATTTAATAAAGAAGTACCTACCTATTCAGCAATATGCAATAGGATTTATTTTTGTTGTATTAATAATCCAACAGGTTACATATTTAAGATCTTCCTAATAGTATTTTTTGTCTAAGAAATATTCCTGATTGCTACTTCTCAAATTTTCACCCTGTATATGCTTGTCGTACACTTAAGCGTACCAGGCCGTGTCAATCTCAGATTGTGTCAATCATAGATCATAAGATTTTAAAGCAGAACATATCGGTATACTTGGTTTGGGCAAATTTGACGATTTACTCTTTTTTTTGAGGGTTTCAAATCAAATTTTGTATTATTATACTCAATCTTTTCGAAAGAGGTCAATGGTAACAATATAATCTATCAAATGCAGGATTATGCTTCAACTATTGTAATTAGGTACAGGGTGGTCCACTAAAAACACGTCTTTGAGACTTTGTGTGCTGTCTGGGAAAGGCTCTAGGAGTCATCAAATGCAATTTGAGAGGGTAAAAAGGTCCTTAAGCACCTAGCTGAAAGGAACAAAGTAACCCAGATGTGGGTGTCAGGGCAAAGAGGGCAACGAGGAGGCAGATCGTCTAGCAAAGCAAGGCGCTTTAATACACAAAATATCATTGGAAAGGTAGTATACCTAGTGCTTGAGCGGCTGGGACAAGCTGGGTATCGACTCCAAACTCAATCTACCTACAATCTACAATCACCTACAGCAGATGCTTTTCCCCACAAACAAATTAAATTAAACAATGCTAATTTTTCAGTCTTTTAATTTTTAAATAAACCTCAAAAACATTATTTTTTTTTCTAACTAGCCTGTCCTGTAACCAAACCAAATACTTCGTTGACCGCTTGAGCAAGTTCTGGATTCTCTAAAACGCTCAGATGGTTACCGTCAAATTGTTTGACAATAATCGGAAGTGCGCACAAACTTGTTAAACCAGAAACTTCGTCTGGAGTGTTTATGCTAACCAAGGTAGGTTTGAAAAGGTAAACTTGTGATTTCAATTTGAAATCGGGCGTCCATTTCACTAAAGCTTTGAGCCTTTTGTAAACGTTTACGGCCAAGTCTCTTTCGTATTTAGGCGAAAATGTCGTACTGGGTGGTACTACAGTTTGAACGAATTCGATTTTGTCCTCAAACGTGTCGCGTTTCAGCAAAGAATCCTACAATTTTATGATTATTTTTAATATTGAATTAATTCTAAATACGTACAATTTGTTTGGAAATCACTTCGTAAGGATGTTGCAAAGTCACCATATGAACGATAAGACTTATTTGCAACTTCTCGTCTACGTCAGCTTCTAAAATACTTGCTAAGGCTTTGAGATAATTAGGGGCTCCATCAATGCAGATAAGGGTACCGGAATAGCCTTTTTGTTCTAGAAGGTTGACTGTTTCTAAGGCCACAGATCCTCCATATGAGTAACAAACAATTTTGAAGGGATATTTTTTTGTAATAGTTGCTTCGATGATCTAAGAAGGATAATATTTGGATTGCAATTTCATAAACTAGAAAAACTTACTCCCAAATACATTTTTGCTATATCCTCAATTGTGTCATGCTGTTTATCGACGGGATATTGTAATCCTATTAAATTTTTCGCCGTTAACTGTTTAAAAAGTGGTTCCAAAGTTTTGATTTGTCCTTCAATACCAGGAAATAGAAATACAGTAGGTTTGTCTTTAGTAGTTTTATCTACTGATATTTCTACAGATATCGTATTAGCTGTAGCTTCGTCGGGTATGTATCGCATAATCATGTCCATTCCAGTCAAAGCACGTTCCTTTTTCTCGCCATTCAACTTTTCAGCCTCCATTTCAGCTTGAATATCAATCAATTTACCAAACGTCATAGTTTTTATGTCCTGAGCTGTTAAGTAAACTTCGTGGTCGCGTTCTAAAGTTTGTTTAATTTCAACCGCTGTCATTGAATCCATACCAACTTCGGCCAAAGTGGCCTGTAAAGAAATGTCCTTTAGATTGTCGACTCCTAAAATACTAGCTACTGCTTCGACAACAGTATCAACGTTGCCTATTTTCGATTTCTTTTCAGCTACCACAATACTGGACACTATTGCTGACTCGGTTTGCTTTAAAAGTTGATCCATTACTTCTAAACAGTTTGATATTCTTTGTTGGAGGGTACCACCAATTTCCATATCAATTGCTTCTTCTTGCATGTCAGCTACTAACCCAACCTACAACAAAATAATATACAAAATTTGTTTTCAAAAAAATATTAACTTACATCACCAATAGCTCCCCATTCAATAGCCAAAGCTGGAAGACCATCAATTTTTCGTTTTTCGCATATTCGTTCCATCACAGAGTTCGACATACCATAGTTGGACTGTCCTGCGTTTCCTCTGCCACAAGATACTGAAGAAAATATAACAAAATCTTTCAATTCTGGACACAATTCTCTGGTAATTGCATCTAAATGTGCCGTAGCGTGCGCTTTGGGGCCAAAAGATGTCTCAAACGATTCCTGCGTCTGATTATCGAAGATGCCATCTCTTAGGACGACTGCTAAATTGAAAATACCATGTACTGGACCCAATTCGTTGGATTTTTTGATTAAGCTAACGCATCCTTCATAGGTTGTTATGTCTTCTGTTGATATGGTTATGGTGCAGCCATACGATTTCCATATACTGAAGTAAGTATGAAAATATATAGGTGGTGGATAAAATTTTAAAAAAACTTACGAAATTCTATAGGCTTGATAACCGGTTTTTACTCCTGATCTCGATGTGAGTACCAAATTTCTACAGCCTCTTAGTACTAACCAATCGGCTAGTTCTAATCCAAATCCACCAAGACCTCCACAGATTATATACGATTTTTCTGGATCACAATAGTACCTGTAAGAGATTTTGAATTGAATAGAATATGTATAGTCCATTAATTTTTGGATTGTCTAATTCCAGGATTTCATTGCTACATTTTTGTACCAGTCATTATTCTATTAGAACAGTAAGCTTTCGAAATCAAATGTATTTAGTTTCCAAATTATAGGTTTGTGGTTTGTAGAGGGAAATTTACAGAATTTACTAGGGGTTTCTTAAGGTTTTTCAAGTTTCTAGCAACAAGCAACAATTCTCAGCAAATTTTGATTTCTACAGAAATATTTATGAAGCAATTAAATCCTTTGAATTTGGAATTCTGTTTAGCTAAACCTACTTCCCTAATTGCCTTGTATTGCCTCATTATTTTACCAAAAAACTGACATATATAAGGAGTTAGTTTGTTACCTTGGTTGACATAAAAATTCCTTTTGTAAAGCACCACCCTTATTTTCTTCCCTCAATTGCAACACAACCTTTCCAATATGCTTGCCAGTAGTCATATATCTGAAAGCAGCTTCGGCTTCGTTCATTTTGAAAACAGTTCTAGGCAAGGGACGAATAGCTCCGGCATTTAGAAGTTTTTGGAAAGACTTGTAAAGTTGCATTCTGGATTCGCAACTTTCTTTCATCATACCATCAACCATAACCCCTATATAAGTAAATTAGAAAAATTATAGAAATATAAATGTAGAAATTTACCGTGGAAGCTGGCTTCTTTTTCCAAAAACAACATACTCAAAGAATTATTATTTGCAAGATCGAACTTTCCGATTTCAATGAATCTGCCGCCGTGCGCCAAACATCTCACAGATGCTTGTAATTTATCATCTGCAAGAGAATTTAAAACAACGTCCACACCTTTACCGCCGGTTTCTTTCATAATGTGCTGTTCGAATTCTGTGGTCCTTGAATTCGATATGTGACAATCTTTTAATTGAGGAAATCTGCGTTTCAAAAATTCTCTTTTTTCCAAAGTACCTACAGTAGTATAAACCACACAGCCCAAATACAACGCAATTTGAATAGCTGACAATCCAACACCTCCAGTTCCAGAATGAATAAGAACCGATTCGCCTTTTTTTATTTTAGCTTTCTAAAACAAATTATTATTTATATTTGTTCCGATTAGGGCAAACTTATTACAGTTATCAATCCGACAATGCTGGTACAGTAAACAACAGGAACCGTAATAGCTTCCTCTAAACTCCAGTTATCTGGCACTTTCCAAAGCAAAACTTCATCGGCACTTACTATAGAACCGAGCAAAGACCCCATTCCGATAACTCTTTCACCACTAAAAAGACAATTTTTTTGACTGAGGAAATTTGAAGCAACAACACAAACCTTTCAAGTACTCCAGCAATTTCGAAGCCCAGCACGCACTCTTGATCGAGCCTGTTTCTAGTGACGGCGTCAGCATTTAATTTTCCAGAAGCCAGCATTATGTCTCTGAAGTTTATCGCTCCGTAGTGGACCTAGAATCAAGATGATTGTTGATAAATAATATATACAGGATCTCACGAGGTTCCTCCCAAATGATCATTTCGGAACGCATCATCGTATGTTCCACTGTATAATTTTCTGTCATATCCTTTAACAAAGCCTCAATAAATATGGCATAGCCGATTTTGTAATTTAATTTTCTAACGAAAAATACCATAATATACCATGAGTTACGTTTGAGATTCGAAAGTTGACGTCACTTGACCGAAACTGAAGCAAAAATGGTAAAATTAGATGATAATGGTAGAAGCGGCACAAAAAGTTACCAAGATCCTCAAAATTTCAATTATATTGTCGTGGGACACCCTGTACAAGATATTTTACAGCTAATTTGGACCCTCAGAATTGGATTTTGGGCAAAATGAACCCTTGAACTAGGGCTTGTTTCCTAACCTATCTTTTTAGCTGGACCCTTTAAGACTCAATTGAACTCATCACGAGGTTTTATACATGCAGTATTGTCCTTCAACAATGATGTACTAAGATTGACTTGAACTTAAGAACCGAATCACCAGAACTGATATTAAAGATTTTTGAAAGAAGGAGGCACAGTTAACATTGAAAATACGCCCCCGTAAATTTCAACCAAATTTCAATATTTTAAAGGTATCATCATTGCAAAAAAAAAAAATATATATTATGTCTGTGATAGCAGATATAGCTGATCAAAATACGTAGGTCTTGCTATGTTATGCATAGGAAATATCCGAGGAAATATCCCTACGTAGATTTTTTTAAATATCTCGAAAAATACTAATCCGATTTTGACTTTTTTGGGGTTCTTTTGTAGGTATCAAACTTCAAAAAGGTCAAATTCGGATTGGTATTTTTCAAGATATTCAAGAAAATCTACGCAGGGATATTTCCTCGGATATTTCCTATGCATAGGACCTACGTACTTTGACAAGCTATATCTGCTATCACAGACATACGACCTCTTTACATTTCAAATTTTTTTTTTGCAATGATGGTACCTTTAAAATATTGAAATTTGGTTGAAATTTACGGGGGCCTATTTTCAATGTTAACCGAACAGCATAATTGCAAAGTGGAATGTATGCCTATCCGCATTTTCCCGAAAAAAGTAAACAAGAACCTAACAGAAGAAGAAACGACATGTTTTTGACTCGAGTTTTTCAGTTAAAGAATGCCCATTTAGGGAATACTTGAAAAAATTTTTAAATAAATTTACTGTAGCCAAAATATTTGAAAGCATTGGTGACGCTGTAATGACCCGCGAAAATAGACCCAGAATTCACAATGTCTTTACTGTAAAAATTAAATGTAATCAAATATTCAAAAACTGAATTTCCGGTATTTCAAATCAGTATCGATATATTGAAAATTAAACAAATTAGCGTTGACCCAAAATTAATTAAAATATCTATATAGGTACGTAAAAATTTTATTATTTAGTCACCAAGCGTGATGTCATCTCCTAAATCAAATCAATGAACTTATTAAAAGAGAGGCCAAAGTTTGAGTTGTCCGAACATTCTTATACGAAATCTGTTGACCCCGATAAACCAGGAAATTGCGAAATAATTGTTCGATTTTAACCCGTAACTGGTGAGTTAGGGTTTCTCAAACCCCACAGATTTTAAGAATCTTTACCACGTTCTAACTAATGGTTGGAGGCCCGCTACCGCCTGTGTAGCTTTCGGTCCGTTATGCGTCAGTACCCTAACGGTGTCAACAACGCGCGATAATTTACTTGGTGTGCGATATTACGATTGCTGTACAAATTGGGGTTTGCGTAGCCCCCCCTCACTGTGAGTCGTTTGGGTTAATTGCTCTACAAAAAGTTTACTTGAAATACAATTTTGCTAAAACTTTGTTCCTTGAATATTTTTCAAAGATTTTTGGACACTTTTCCGCCATTTTGTATTTTTTATGCTACATTTTCAGTTTGATTACTTCTAGTAATTGGAAATAAGTTTTGATGTGTGTTTTTTGCAGTCTCACAGTAAAATTGAAATATTTCTAAAATATTTGTTATTTTTTTGTTGAAAGTATGTACCTACGCGTTCCAAAAGGACAAATGTTACCCAAAAGTGAATAACATACACGTTTTTCTATTTCGAATTAGTAGAATAGCCTTTTTTATTTGGGGTTTAACAAACCCCACCTCACCGGTTATGTAACAAAAAAAATGACCTCACCAGTTAGGTACGGGTTAAACAAATAAAAGAGGAAGGTTATTGAATGATGAAATTTAGGATTTGTGGGGGAACGAAACATATAAATACAGCGGTTTTAGAAGTGGAGGGCAGTTATCAGTTGTTAGTTGAGTTTAAGTTCCGTCCAGTTCAGTTTTAAGTCTACAGTACCTAATGAATCAGTCCGGATGAAAATTCGCGGAGAGTTTCTTTTATTTTTGCCTCGGGGAAAACGCGTTTGATCGAATATTTGTAAAAGTACAGAAAGTTGTGAAAGAAAGAACACTTAAAATCATTCAACATTATGTGCGAGCTCTAAGTAATCAAAAGAATTAAATAAGATTAGTTTAGTGTTTTATGGACAAAATGTAAGTACTCTATAGTGACAAGTTTTATTTTTGACTATAAATGATAAACAGCGCTGCCACCTTCTTTTTAGCGAACTTCTAGCTTCTTTGTCTGAATCTACTAAAAATCTACTGAAGCAATTTTGCAAAATACCAAAAATCTGCTCTATAGGGAGTTGGGAGTGGCTACCGGCTTCAGTCGTAGTCTTTCATAGCGATTTGAATTTCTGATGAGTATGTATTTTCGTCTTGCTCTTGCCAGCGTCATTAAAAAAAGAGGACAATATATTAGCGCCGTACGGGTTCTACAGAAGAAAAACGATATTAAGGAATGAAGTCCAAAACAAGACATACCTATGTTCGCTTCATAATAATTGCTCTTACTATCACTATATCACTAACTGAGAACTAGCTTAACTATTATTAATCACATGCACTTTGGGTTGCCAGCTTTGTTTTTTAATTTTTCTGGACGAGGATAATAAAATATCAGGACATACAGTAAAAATTATGGACATATTACGCGCATCGGTCCACAAAGCTGAACGCATTGAAAAAATCCTTTCAGCGTCATCATTCGACGGTCGGCAACCCTACATGCACTAGTTATATGGCAATTGTGAACAAACAAATAACACATAAATCGTCGGCCATTAAGGGTAAACACCAAAAACCGAAACGCGCCGTAAATCAATAAGCCATTTAGAATGAAGTAACTTATTTAGTGACCTTACCGATTAGTTTTTCCACAATCGATATTAGGATTTTTATCGTATTTTATTATACTATCAAAATCTACTAGATTTTCTACTAGAAATTCTGTCTACTAAAATTTTACAAAAAAAAAGCTGAAAATCTACCAGGAAAGTAGAAATCTACCAAAGGTGGCAACGCTGATGATAAATGAGTATGAAGTGAATTTACTTTGGAACTTTATTGCGTAAATATTAATAACTCGAGTTTTTTGACTATGGAACATTATTGCATAACTTTAATTGGTTTCGAGTAAAATGACATTATAATTAATTTTGCAAAGAGTTTAAAGGGGGAATTTATAATGCACTTAATAAGTATCGATTTTGAGTAGGAATTATTAAAGAATTTTGAATTGGATTGTCCAATTGAAGTTTAAGGGCTATAGTAACGAACTAATAGGAATTCAAATAATTGTGTTTGTCGCTAGGAATCCGAAAATAGTAATTGTTCAGATTAAATTGATAAATAGTTTTGTTTGAAAATTGTTGTTCATGTTGTAACATTGATGACTTTAAGTGCAGAAATTTTGAATTATGGTTTTAATCATTTAGAAATTATTGTAAGATTTTATAAAAATATAGTTGGCAATGCATATATACTTAATCCAGTGAGTCGGATTATGACTTGCATAATTATTTTGCATAAGCAGTCAGTAAAGGACTTAGGAATTTTAAGAATTTATAGATATAGGTGAAAGGTAGTTTTAATAGGATTGTGAATCGGAAGTGATGTAAGGTATAAACTTATAAGTTATTAAGAATAGAAGAAGAAGGGCGTTTTTTTTTTGTATGTATATTTCCTGGTCCGTAGTAGGTAATGAAATTTGAACGCATGTGAAATAATTTGATTTGGAAAAAAAATAAAAGTGGCTGTCAAAATAGAAAGATATTTGCTTATTTAAATTTTTGGTTTTAAGTATAATAAAATATAATTTAGTAAACCTCAATAGTTTGTTTCTCTCTTTTGCGAATAGACCCCCTCCACAATTTTATAGGTAGCCGCGGAAATAAACACCATCAATATATCGCTCGCCATTTACCATCTAACTAATCAAATAGAGTACTTGAGTGCGTTTTGCTACAAGTTAATGAAGTAAATCTATAAACGTTTATCATTGCTGATTTGGATGGCCATGTCATGTCTGATAACGTATCAAATACTGACCGAAATAAACTTTTATTACTTTTAGTTTTAAATAAATATCGTAACTGTTTCGCGCTAAACGTTTACGAGCTAGGTACGATAAACAATTATGAAATGTCAATAGAGTTAACAGATGATAAGCCATCAGTAATGTACAGGCCTTATGGACTGTCATTTGGAGAGCGAGAAAACGTAAGAAGGATGGTAAACGAGTTGCTAGCTGCTGACATCATTCGAGAATCAAATTTGCCCTATTCCAGTTCAATTGTTCTTGTTAAAAAGAAAAATGGCGAGACTCGCATGTATGTAGATTACAGGGCCTTAAATACCAAAACAGTAAAAAATTCTTATCCTCTACCACGGGTAAACGATCATCTGGAAATGTTGAATGGTTGCAAGTTTTTCGCCAGTCTTGACTTGGCAAGTGGTTACCATCAGATTAAAATGGCTGTAGCTTCCAGAAGAAAGACATGTTTTGTGACCCCAGATGGTCAATACGAATACTTGAGGATGTCATTTGGCCTCGTAAATGCTCCGGCGGTATTTCAACGCACTATTAATCAAATTTTGGGATCAATGAGATTTTCTACCGCGTTGGCTTATATGGATGACATTTTAGTGAATTATATCTGGGCTTCATTAATATTATGCGCTCTGATCAACAGGCCAATGGAAAAGTACATATAAACTAAGAAGGATGTTTATTGTCACTATGGAAAGTTTCATTAATACAAAAACCTTGCCACCTACTTCAATGTTCGTTGTTCATACACAAGATGAATCGAACTAGGAATTAAGAAATTGTTCTTCCTTCACTGACGTAGAGTTCATGTGATCAAAGAAGCAGTTCTTTGGGCCGATTTTGACGAATTGATCATTAAATCAATGAACAACTTTTTTTATCTATGCTGCTATTTGGTTGAGTGTACTGATACTATGAGTTTGTATTACTCTAACACGGTCAGATTTATGTAATACGAGCGGTTCTGCTATTGTAAGACAATGGAGAAACCCGAATTCTCAATCATTGGGCACTATCACCAAATGCAGACCGGTTTCGAGCTTGTTATGCTCTCATATCATGATTTGACACATTGTCTAGAATTTCCTTGATTTTGAAAAAGTATTTTAAAAAATCTTGATTTTTCTCTTTTCTGGGTTGTTTTTGATTTTTGCTTTGTTTGACTATTGAGAGAGGGAGCCACACGCTATTAGAGATCTATATCTTTCTTACCGTTTGAATCTCTTGTAAACCTGTTTCTCCAAGTTGTGTGCTTTCCCCTATATTGCACTGATGAGAGCGCTCGTATTAGGTACATAAATCTGACCGTGTCATAGTAATACAAACTCAATTGACAGTGTGTTGAAGCTTTGGTAAAAACACTTGTGTTTTCCAAAGAAATTTCAAAAAACTTTGATTTGACACACTATGTCTAGAATTTCCCTGATTTTGAAAATTTATTTTCAAATATTTTGATTTTTCTAAAATTGATATTTTGAACCGAACCAATGACTCTGAGGGCTGCAATATAAGTTCAATTTTCCTTACATAAACTAATTTTTGTTCGGGATCGAGTTTCGAATTTATTTTCAATGGTCCTTCGATCCACGTTAGAGACGATAAATCACCCCTGCGCAACGAATTCAAGTAGCATTGCTCGGCATTTATTTGATTGATTTTGTTCAACAGCAAATGCCTGTAGGTGCCCCATTGTCCGTCCTTATAAACGTTGAAAGCCAAATTTTTATCCAACTGATTCTTGTAAAATGGTGAGTTCAAATCAAAATCTGGCGCAGATGATTGTGTAAAGAGTAGCTTGACAATTCCGCCGCCTTGAAATTGAAAAAACAAATTACAAAATCGAGGTTGGGGTTTGTTAAATTACTTGCCAGGTTCTCTTCTCAAGCACGAAACTAAGCCCAATACTCCATTTAATGGTTCTCCTTGTGATAATACTAATATGTTTCCATTTTTAGTCATTGCATTTTGTAGTTTTTGAATCCAACTGAATTCGGTGTCTTGTTGCGACACTTGAATCTAAAATATTTGAAAAATTGTATCAAGAAGATAAAGGACACAATTTTTTAGTTACCATTGAAGAAATACTGAACTTAGAGATATTCCTTAAAAGAACAAGTTTTTCTTTGTCATTGCTGTAAATTGTAACGATGCTTATTTCTTTATTATTATTAGGATTAATTTCAACATTTAAAGGCTCCCGTGAAAGTATAAAGCCATTTTCTTTGATTGAACCAAAAGCTGATTTGAGAACCTATAGAAAAAAAAAGATATTTTGTTATAAAAATAATATTTAACGTATAATAAACATACGGTGTTTCTTTCTAGAAGTTTCGATCCAATTACCAAACTACAATCAGTTTCAGTAACCAATTGTTTGTTTTCAATTTTCACTTTTTTGATATCGTATTCTTTTTTGCTTAAAATGGTGAGATTTGGTTGTATAAGGGGAATATCGCCCAGAACATCATCAATAATTGAAACTGAAAATAAGCTTTAATTATAAAAATTCATAAGTATATAAGACTTCTTTACCTAAAGGTTCTAGTTGTTCGTTTGTAGCTTCATCGATAAGTTCAACAACTTTTATATTCAGGCTTGGTAAATTTTCAAGTAAAATTTGCATGTTTACTCTGAGCGCCTCCTTTACTGGCAAAGGAGCTATGTTAGGGACAAATACGTATTTTTCCAAAACAGGAATTCCTTGGTATTTTCTTCTTGCAATTGAACTAGCGCTTTGTCCTCTCAATTCTATACCACCTGATCTGGAAGATAAAATATAATTATATTATTGTCGCTGAAAAAACATCAGCTAATTACCTAGTTATTCCAGTAACTTTACAAGAATGCACAGGGATTGGTTCTTCTCCTAAACTACTGGCATAATTAACATGTTTATTAGCATCAATAATCAGCTTGTTAATGTGAGTAGGAACATAAAGCAACCTAGAATCCTCTTGGAGTATGTTCAATTGAAGCATATTATCTATGAAAGTTGTCCAGTTTCCATCCCAAGCGATACTTCCAACTTGGGCGCTGGAATCGCAAGAAACAATTTGCTTAAATTGCCCGCTGTAATTGTAACCTCTCAATCTTAGTTCTTTGTATACGTCTTTTTTATTCATGTAAGGTGCAATTTCGGGATTTACGCCGCAAGGCATTGGTAAGTCGTCCAAAATTGGTTCGTCGGTGGATACATGATAAATTCTTCCAGTAACGACGGGCTCATCCCCTAAAAAATTGAATGATTAAAACAAACATGGATCGAATTATTGAATTTACCTTCAATAACTTCAAAATTGCCAGAACCCCTTTGAATCATTACAATTAGTTCCATTCTGGAGTCCTTTTTAGGCAATGGAGTGGCTCGTTTAAATTTGCAATTTTCAAAGACCACTTTCATGTCCGCGAACATCAGACCGTGGACCTGAGCCAATGTGTTCCAGGCCATCAACAAATAACCAGTGGCCGGTATTAGATTTCTCCCTATAAAATATTGATGTAATCTTTGGCGTTTTTGAGGAGATTCAAGGTACCATCAATCACGTGTCCTTTCATAAACAAATACGCCGGATTGGCACTCGATATAGTAGTGGCTTGTTCTTCCAAACCGATCAATTCTTTATCGTAGCTAGTTACCCACCAATTACGTGTGTGGTTCCACTTGATTTTAGGCGAAATCATTGGGGTGCCTCTGCTCACTGGAAATTCGATTCTAGGGAAAATGTTTTGGATCTGGGGATTGAGTCCAAGCTCGTACAAACTGAAACGAAAAGTTTATGTTTAAACTGCAATTAATCGGGTTTTAGTTGGATCCGTCAAAAAAAAAATCATACGATCGAGTTTTATTATTGGTTCCTGAACCTAGAAATGACAGGGTTGGCATACACAAAAACTCAGTTGTGAAACTGTTGGAATCAAATTGAAATCTTAATTAATAGGTTTTTAGAGAATTTCATTGGGTTCAATTAGAGCTTAATTATATTGGAATCGGATAAAAATTAACGAAGCTATGAGGCAAAAACTGTCTCAAGGTCATGTTTGGTAAATTTTCAATGATCGATAATTTCAATTCTGAAGCTCCTCAGCAGCAAAATTGTTGAAACTAAACTAAAATCTTAATCAACAGGTTTGTACCGAATTTAATTGGCTTTAATTAGAGTCTGATTGCGTTGAAATTGGATGAAAATTAAACGAGCTGTGGGACAATAACTGTATCAGTGTCATTTTTGGAAAATTTTCAATGTTTGATATATTCAATTTTGAGGCTTCTCAGGTGTAAAACTGTTGACACCAAATAAAAATCTTAACTAATAGTTTCATAGAGAATTTAATAGGCTTCAATTAAAGCTCAATTACATTGAAATCTGATGGAAATTAACGAAACTGTTGAGAAAAAACTGTATCTATCTCATTTTTGGAAAATTTGGAATGTTTGATAAATTCAATTTTGAAGCTTCTTGGATGTGCAACTGTTAAAACCAAGATGAAATCTCAATCAATATATTTTTCGAAGAGAATTTAATTGGCTCTAATTAGAGTTTGATTACATTGAAATCGGATGAAAATTAACGAAACTGTTGAGAATAAATTGTCTCAATCTCATTTTTGGTAAATTTTCAATGTTCGATAATTTCAATTTTGAAGCTTCTCAGCTGTGAAACTGTTAAAACTAAATTAAAATCCTAATGAACAGAGTTGTAAAGAATTTCATTGGCTTTAATTAGATCCTAATTGCGTTGAAATCGGATTGAACGAGCTGTGAGGCAAAAACTGTCTCAGTGCCATTTTTGGAAAATTTTCAATGTTCGATAATTATAATTTTGAAGCTGCTTAGGTGTAAAACTGTTGAAACTAAATTAAAATCTTAATTAATAGGTTTGTATAGAATTAAATTTGCTTTAATTTGAGTCTAATTACGTTGAAGTCGGATTAAAATCAACGGAACTGTGCGGCTAAAACTGTCTCAGTGTCATTTTTGGAAAATTTTCAATGTTCGATAATTTCAATTCTAAAGCTCTTCAGCTGCAAAACGGTTGAAACTAAATTGAAAAAATAATTAATAGGTTTGTGAAGGATTTAATAGGCTTCAATTAGAGTTCAATAACATTGAAATCGGATGAAAATTAACGAAGCTGTGAGGCAAAAACTGTCTCAATGTTAATTTAGTGAATTAAGGAAAAATTGTAAGTAAACGAGAGAACTCTAATTCTTAATATAAATTGCCATCATTTGCTCCATTTGCTGTATTTATATTGTATTTATTCACATAATTTGTTGACGCATCGAAACTAAATGAATATGACTTACCTTCCTATAGCAGCTAAAACATCACTAATTCCGCCATTGCATTTTATAAACGATTTTGTTTCATTGTTGCCTTTTAATACTTCTGTAATGGTGCCATTTCCAATCTCCAATAATGCAGCTTTGTTTTCCAACATATTTTTCACATTTTTCAAAAGATTTACGTTCAAGCCATTTATTAGGTTAGCCGCTGATACATCAACTAGTCCGTTATTCCTCACTGTAGTTTTCAACACTTTAGTTATCTTTTGCTGTAGGTCATTAGCTGAAAAATATTTAATTTATTAGTATAAGTATTTATAATAACAAACAGTAAAATCTTCAAGAGAATAGAAGAAACTCAGTAAAAGACATAATAAGAAAAACACAACTAGAAGAAATCAATAAGGAGGTGAGGAAAAGGAATATTGCGAAATATAACAAAACATTTCCAAATGCAACCTTTGTGGAGGTGAGATGATTACCAATTATTAATTTTGGAATGCAAAAATCACACTCAGCCCTCCCAACTGTTTACGCCATCTCCTCATCATATTTTTAGAAACAAAAGAGGAAAACTTTTTCCAGTATAATCGAGTTAAAGTCAGAAGAAGGCCCAGAAAATTAAAGTTGAATACAAGGAATCAAATTCAAAAAACGATGAAGATCAATGATGATTACTCACCAGCTTTTTCATTACTCTTCAAGACTTCAGACAAATCAATCGTGTCGCTTTGACCTTTAAAACCTAAAGATTGAGCAATGTCGGCCACAATGAAAGCACACTCGGTGGCTTCTTGTAAAGTCAGCGCACCATCGAAATAAGCGCATACTAAAGCTCCTAAAGATAAACCCTTGGACACTCCGAATGTTTTATTTGGTTTGATGTGGCAAGCTTTAAGCAAGTCAGCGAAAATTATCTGAATGACGAAGTTCCCTAGAATTTTGTCTAGAATTGAGTTTGAGCTGAGGCTGTTATGGATATTAATTTTTTTTGGATTAAGTGCGTCTTGGATTTTTTGGAGTGCAGTTGCTGCAATAGGCAGTCCTAGGAATTCTTTGAACTTTTGCCTTGTTTGTTCATCAATGATGCCAAAACATATTATCAAATTAGCTGTTGAATATTTATATGTAGCCAGAGATCTTGTAATTTCACCAGCTTTTGATACAATTGTGTAGCCTCTGTATACATGTCCTTTGATGTTTTTTCTAAATATTTCTTGCAATAGCCTAATATGTTCAACATCGATAGTATTATTTGCACAAGTATCATCTAATAATGAGTTTATGGCATCTGGGTTTCTTCCACTGACGCATACCAGTCTTGGAATATTGTCTTTGTGGGTAGTTTTTTCTTTGGTATTATGTTTGAGGAGAACATGACAATTTCCACCGCCGAATCCGAAACTATTTACACCTATAAGACCCTTGTTGTTATTAAACCGAGTTTTTTCAGTGACTACTTTTAGTCTTCCTTCTTCCAGGCCTTTAATACCAGGCCTGGCAGTTTTGTAGTGCAAGTTTGGCGGAATATAGCCTGTTTCAGCTGCAATAATGGCCTAAAATTGATTATTGTTAAAAAAAAAAAATATTTTTAATTGAAAAATTACTTTGGTTATAGAGCACAATCCGGATGTTGGTTCTGAATGGCCGATATTCGATTTTACAGATCCAATTAGAAGAGGGAGCGATCGGTTTTTGGTGAAAACTTCGTCAATGGCTCCCGTTTCTTCTGGATCTCCTACTTTGGTGCCTGTACCGTGAGCTTCCACAAAGCTCAGCTCCGACGGATTGATGTAATCGCATTCGCGGTAAAATTCTTTTAGGAGACGAATTTGCATTTCACCAGACGGATAGGTAATTCCAGAATTCTACAAAAAATTAAATAAAAACAAAGTGGTTTTACTCTATAAGATAATGGAGGGAACTTGAATTCTCAATAATGAAATGTGTGCAATATACAGGGTGTCCGGATATTCGACCGACAACGCTTGACAGGTGACAGACCTCGCATTTTCATGAAAATTGAGATAGGAATATGCAACCTTAAAGTGCTTAGTTTTCAAGATACAGGGTGTCAAAGTTTTTCTTTTATTTTCGATTTTTGTCAACTATTCCTCAATAAACCAACACAGCGATGCGAAATTATGTATCGGGGAGTTTGTTAGGACGAGGATTACAAATTCATTCACGGTTTTGATATCACTACTAGGGGGCGCCACCTACGGCACATCGAACTTTTTTAAATTATCAAAACTTTTGACGATTTGAATGTTAGAAAAATCGATTCTCCAACGTTTTTTACGTAAAAAAGATGTACTTTGTTCAAGTATCTAGAGGTAACCGTTTCCGAGATAACCTTCATTGAAATTTCCAATGCAACGGATTTAATGTAAGAATTTAGAGGAAAAAATTATTGATATTCGGGTAAGAACAAATAAAATAAACATAATCAATTTGGCGAACCTTTGATGTTAAACTGATAGTGGCAACACTTGATTCATGTGTAAAAGATTACCTATTGAATTTTCTCATTAATTTCAATAATTTTTTCTTCTAAATTTTTACTTGAAATCTGTTGCATTGGAAATTTCAATGAAGGTTATCTCGGAAACGGTTACCTCTAGAGACTTGAACAAAGTACACCTTTTTTACGTAAAAAACGCAGGAGAATCGATTTTTTCAATATTCAAATCGTTGCAGCAAACTGGAAAAAAGTTTTGATAATTTAAAAAAGTTCGATGTGCCGTAGGTGGCGCCCCCTAGTAGTGATATAAAAATCGTGAATGAATTTGTATTTCTCGGCCTAACAAACCCCCCGATATGTAATTTTGCATCGCTGTGGTGGTTTATTGAGGAATAGTTGACAAACATCGAAAATAAAAGGAAAAGTTTGACACCCTGTATCTTGAAAACTAAGCACTTTAAGGTTGCATATTCCTATCTCAATTTTCATGAAAATGCGAGGTCTGTCACCTGTCAAGCGTTGTCGGTCGAATATCCGGACACCCTGTATAAGCGAAAGCATGCCATGTTTTAGCGTATGGCTCCCTCTTTTCGTGCAAATCAAAGTACGCTATAATAGGATTCATTCCTATCTTGTTGTTGTGGTCTCCTTCAAACCTGTTTCTTTGATTTGGTATGCTTTTGCTTATGCTGCACTGATTGCAATGAAATTTGTTTACCTTGTAACCATCACAATTAGTTTTCGCATGAAGAATAGTAACGTAAACACGCTTTGCATCTTTGGCTTTTTGGAGAATTACAGCCGAAATTGCTTCAGATCGAGTATAACCATTTCCAGATTGATCGAATGATTTGCATTTTCCGTCCAAGCTCAACACACCCAATCTAAAAATTGAAGTAGAAATTAAGGTTATCAACAAGTTGTAAAATTACCTTGCAAATTGCAAAGAAACATAAGGATGAAGACATAAATTCGATCCACCAACTATTGCCCTGTCGCATTGTCCCATCCTCAATGCCTTATAAGCATTTTCCAAAGCATACAACGAGCTACTGCATGCTGTGTCGCAGTTAAACGACGGCCCCTTGAGCTTCAGATGTTGGCTGATACGGTGAGCTAACATTGAACGAGTACATCTGAAATATTATTTGGTATAGTGACTGAAATGTTTGGTACATTATTATATACCCAGTTACAGCAAATCCATGCGGTACAAGTTTGTCAGTAAACCAAGTTTTTTCGGTTTCACTGAAACAAGATCCCACAAATACTCCAGTGTTTGTCCCTTCCAGTTCCGAAGGATGGACGCCGGCATCGAAAATGGCTTCGACAGCTTTTTCCAGGAATATTCTGCTCATCGGATCCATTTGGTTTGCCTGGAGATGGTTGATACCTTGAAAATTTTATTTATTTATTTATTCATCAATTCACAATATAGATTGCCTTAAACAATATTTGTTCCGTCATCACTATAAAAATAAAATACAACAATTTAAACGACACGAAGTATATATCAATATAAACATAAATTTTAAATCATACTTTTTCAAGTTTTAATATCTTGTGGGTCAAAAAACGAATTTAGTCGTATGCTCTGCTTACAGCGCTGCACCACCTAGTGGACAGAGTGGAGGTGGCACTGGACCGAGGACAGACCACCATGAGAATCTTCTTAGACATTGAAGGCGCGTTTGATAATACGAATTCGAATCGATATGCCTAGCAGTGATTATAGACGTGGCACTCATCACACAATCGTGGAATGGATCAAAGCCATGCTGTCAAGACACACAGTCAGAGCAACGATTAACAGACAAGGCGGAAATGGTTGTTTTCACTAGGAAAAGGAGGCTTGGGCAAATGCCTGAGTCAAACCTTTTCAATCACAAGCTCAGATGCTCCGAGTCAACGAAATATCTTGCGATCATTACAGGCTCCAAGTTGACATGGAGAGAACCTCTTAGCAGCGAAATCAACAAAGCGAATAACGCCCTATGGGTATGTAAAAGGGCTTTCAATTCAATTTTCAATTTCAATTTATTGATCAGTTCATACAGAAAAAGTACAGGGCAGCCAATGGCATTGATCACAAATCATATCTAATGCTACAACAATATGAATAATAATACAATACTGTATGAGAGTAATACAATAATACAAATACAATGACAGCCTAGCAGGAATATTAAGCTTACATAAAATCATTGAGGTAAAATGTAAAAGTTACCAGTAGTCAATTGGCAGTTGTCTAAGGGATATTGCATTATACCAAGCTCTACCTAAATGGAAAACTGACCTCCTAGTTAGTAACTTCCATCTGAGACTGGGGTAAACTTAAACTATATCTATTTCGAGTTTCATAACTATGCGTATTATATGCTTCCAGTGGCGCACCCAGACGGGGGCCATCGAGCCAGGGCCCCCCAGGCCGCCCCTGCAAAACTTTATTTTTACGTAGGTATAAAAAAATGTGGCAAATTCAGGGCGTGGTGCCCTGACGCCTCAATTTTTTTTTTAGATTTTCAGTCACATGCCACAACCTATGTAGTCACAATCTGTATTGTCAAAATATCACTTAGTGTCTCTTAGGGATTAAAAAATCGTAGCTCCGCTATCTTTGGTTTTTTTCCAATCAAATTTTGGTAGGTTACAGGTAAAAGGCTTCTGGATATATAAAAAAATTCTTCATTTTCCAAGGTTTCCGAGATTTCTAGGAAACAAAAACAAAAATCAGGCAATAGACTGTAAGGCAAAAATATCATTCAGTCTTTCTTTTGGATTAAAAAAATTGTAACTCCACTATCTTTGATTGTTTTCCAATCAAATTTGGGTATTTTTGAACTTAAAGGCGTCTGGATATATTATCTAATATCTCCAAAGCATCTTAGATTTCCAGGAAAAAAATCTAAAATCGGGACATAGTCTGTATTGTGAAAATATTACTTATGTCTCATTGAGATTAGGGAGATTTTAAGCCACTTATTTAACGTACAATTCACGTTATCGGTTATTGTGCACATGCGCAGTAGCGAAAAGATAACCGGTTACGCTATTTAGCGATAACGTTTCACGTTAGTTGCGGGCCTATTACGTTCGTTTAATAATCGTAGGTAATACCATAAGAGCTCAGATTTAGCCGGATATTTTTTGGCTTGGTCTCGAATACTTACTTTTAGGAAATTTAACGAGAGCTGTTCCGACAAAATCACGAGAGCGCAGCTCGAGTGATTTTGTAGAACAGATCGATCGATGTTTCTATATAGTGACTCTAGACTAAAATCCAAATTTATTTTATCTTGAGTAAGATCTAGTAAGTGGTTCTAGAACGCTTTCTAGGGATATTGCAAAAATGAATTACAGATTATGAGGTTCATATATGATGAACAAATTTTGACGTCCATCAGTGAATTTCAATTATTGGAAAGACGGTTTACTATAAAATCTACATACAATACACCAGACGTGTTTCAATTGTAATATATTATGTTTACATATTTTCATGTTATTACGATATTAGAACAATAACAGTTTAAATTTAAATGGTACGAAGTCTAGATTAGTTTTGTTATATACAGGGTGTCCCACAATCAGCGTTACAGGCCATAACTTTCTTATTTTTAGAAATAAAAAATTGAAAAAAAAAATTGACAAATGGTTAGTTAAGCTCTCTTCAAAAATATAAAAAAATCTTCCCCTGACAAAATCATCCCCTATTTACAACCCTTTACTTTTTTTTTTTCAAATGGCACCCCTAATTTTTTTTTTATTTTTGAGAAGTTCATGAAATTGCAAATTTAATGATATATGAGAAGTTTGTTTTTCCATGTTTCCTTGAAAAAAAAATTCAAAAATGAAAATAATAATAATGGGGTTCTATTTGAAAAAAAAGACAAGAGTTGTTTTTAGGGGATGAGTTTGTTAGGGAAGATTTTTTTAATATTCTTGAAAAGGGGTTAATTTGCACACAAATTTTTATTTTTGTAGACAAAAATGTGATTGCCTGTATAAGACTAAGGGTGGGACACCCTTTTTTTTGCCCCCAAGAGACATGGAAAAACAAACTTTTTATACACCATACAAATTTGTAATTTCATAAGCTTCTCAAAAATAAAAATAAATAATAGGGGTGCCATTTGAAAAAAAAAAGTCAAGGGTTGTAAATAGGGGATGATTTTTTCAGGGGATGATTTTATTATATTTTTGAAGAGAGCTTAATTAGCCATTAATAATTTTTTTGTTTCAAATTTTTATTTTCGAAAATAAGAAAGTTATGACCTGTAACGCTGATTGTGGGACACCCTGTATAGTAAATTTTTCTACCTACGACTGGGCGGAAAAGTGCACTTTATTGACACTATGTGGTAAAGAAGACTGCATAGTGTGCGGTAAAGTAGTATTTCAATAATGCCTGTTTTGGAAATGTAGCTGATCATAGGTACTTAAAACCTTGTTGCGTGCGGTTAAGTATCACTTTCCGCATTTGTCAGGTTAATAACAACCATTACTCAACTCTACTCAAAAAACAAATCGTGTTCGGTTGGTGTCCACGTGTTGCTAATCCTTGACCCAAATTGATAGAAATTTGAATAAAAAATGTGCCTAAATTTTGTATACTGAATAATTGATTTTATTTAAGCTGAAACCACATAAAACTTGCCTTTTTGTAACCTTTATAAAACATGAAATAATTGTATTGTGGAGGATTTCAGATTTTCCTTTCACGATCTATTAGAAAATGTTTCTGAACTTAGGTACTGCGGCTCAAAGAGTTACTGAAAAGCAACTTCCCAAATCAGTTATTTTGTTATTTTCTAAGAATAATTGCGCAATTTAAAAAGTACACAGTTAATGTGATAAACTAGCCAAAAAAAATAAAAATGAATTTTTGGACTGAAGATATTTCATTTCAAGCTCATGGGATAAGAGCTCTTCATTCCACTGAATTCCAGTGAGATAAGAGCTATTTTTAACGCACCAGTGTTCACTTCCATCCACAACAAGCTACAACTTACGTACAGTTTGAACTATTCTTATCTCACTGGTATCGTAAATAACTATTGAAGACCCATTGTTACATCATAGATTTATTGTCCAACTAATATTTATTAGGTACATAAATACGAATGAAGAAAATTAACTTACCAAAAAATCCAGCATCGAATTGATCAATATCCGGTATCTTTCCCGTTCTTTGTGGAATTTCTGGATGTCCCTCTTTCCATCTTCTCTGATCTCCAGTCACCATGTCGACTTTATTGAATAAATTGTCCCGAAACTCGTAAACATTATTCGATTCGGGATAACTACCAGATAAACCTATAGATACATGAAAAAAATTAAAATTCCTTCCCTTTTTATATGGCCGAATTATGTTTACCAGATATAACAACTTCCTCTCCGGCCGGTGGATTGGCTAAAAGCTTTCCTATTTCGATAGAATTGTCGACTTCCGTCATAACTTGAATATTTTCTGGCATCGTCGACAAGCAAAACTAACAAATAGTTCTGGCCGGAATACACGAGTATGTAGTTTTTATATTGCCTATTGCCCTACATGCAAATCGGAACAATGCGTATTCGATTACAATTTATGAATGTATTATGAAACTAATTTTGCGAATTAATTAATAATTTTAATATTAAATAGATTATTAGGAAAAAAACTGTGCAAGAGTGAATGCAAACGAATGCAAAAATGATGTTTTGTTCGTTTGTACTTATTTGCATAAACGTAAAAAAAAAAATGACCTGCGCTAGAAGGGGTTTTAATTTACTTTATTATTAACACACAAATAGGTAGAAAATGTATCCAAGCAACCGATGTATAAGATGTTTTATCGATAGTCAGTGCTGTGACCCATATCCAGAAGAATACCCCAACCAAAAGAAATTTAAGGTAAAAATATACAATTATCTATGGCGTGGCGAATAGCTTATTGCTTTTGTATGACTGTCGTCTTCTATGAAGAATTATGATGGTGGTAGCGTGATTGGGGCAGAAATGGCGTGTCAGAGTTTCCCGAGTTGAAATTCTTTGTTTGAAGAAGTAAGCGCAGATCGGATTTTTAATATTAGATATTTTGTGATAAAATAATTTACAATAATATAATAGTGCAAAATGTCGAACTGATCCAAATTGAAATGGTTCTTGTTCTTAAAGATAGAAACCCGACCTTTGTCTTGAATGATTATTGTAGACATTTTGTGAATTACTTAACAAGTAACCATTCTGAAATTTATGTATACCTACACCTTTTTCTATTCGTTTAGGTAAGTTTTTGCATAATAATTAATTGCAGGTCTTGAATTCAATTGACTTTCATTTGGTTTGATAATTTTCATTCTTTGTTATTAAATTGAAATCGGTTAGGCTTTCGAGAATCAGACAAGAACTTTGAGAATCTAAACTTTCTTTCCAAAAGTCGCTTTCACTTTTCGAATAGTTTTATTTTCAGTTAGGGCCTAATTTACCTACATTTCGAGTTTAAATTATGCCAATACAATTTTACTAATTTAATCGGAATGGACCACCCAATACAATAGATGAGACCTCATTATTGATAGAGAACCAAATAGACTTGACAACTAAATTTAGAGAGAATAGAGAATCGAAAAAGGGAAACTTGCATGTTGTGTCGCTTTTTTCTCTAGACCGATTTAGGCTATAAGTTTTTTTTTTTTGTGTCAAGTATACCTACTAATATTTTGAGCCAATTCATTAAAAATAAACATCGAACAAACTTTCCAACCCTTAACTATTTCCTATGGAACAAATCATAATTAAAATACCCCAAAAGAAAATAAAAGTATAATAATATAAACCATTAAAGCGGCAGTAAAATCACGATTTTCTACTATTATTGATGGCATGATAGTTTCGATGCAACACGCGCGCCTTCCAGCGCCGTTCCCTATTAAATTACAGGACAAAACGAGATCGTAAAATTCATATTTTTCTGCCGTTATAAATCACGTCAACCCTAAAAGAAACGACACATAAATGCATACGAAAAAGACGAAACTTGCAACAATAAACAACTCGATTGATTGGGAACTTAGAAGAATAACACATTGTAGATTGTGGGGGAAGTCGTTTCGGCTTTCCAGCCGCTCAGCACTGCTACATTTGCAGAGATTTTCTACGTGACTCTTAAATTGTCTCCAGGAAACGTAGACTTCTGCCGAAGGAAGTTATTTTTGTGGGTGTCAGTGGGCCCACTTCTTTTGGTGACAGTGTTGCCCCCTCGAGGAATTTGAGCCTCTTGTAGAATTGGGCGGGACATTCGCAGAGCAAGTGCTCTGCGGTCCCTATTGCGTCTGAGCAGAATCTACAGAGATCTTCTGTTGCTCTGTCCATGAACCTTAAGTGATTTTTCACCAAGCAGTGTCCTGTGAGCAGTCCTACGACCATTCTGATATCGGGTCTGCTCATGTTTAGGAGCTCTTTTTGCTGAAGAGGTGATAAACCTTTTTGAGTGTCTTAGTTCCAGAGTGTGCCTCCAGTATGATGACAGTTGGTCTTTCTCCCATTTCTTGAGTTCTTCCATGATGTGGCTTTTCATTAAGCCATAATAGGGCTCTGGTCCATGGTATGGTGTTGAGGCCTCTTCTTTTGCGAGGCCATTTGCTTCTCCGTTTCCTTCTATGCTTCGATGACCAGGCCGCCACAGTCATTGGCCACATCAGCATTACCTGGTTGTGTAACGCTAGTGTGTTTAGGGTCTGTTTACACCCCCAGACTAGTTTTGAGACGCATTTGAAAGTCCTTATGGCTTTTAAAGCAACTTGGTTCTGATAGTATAAAGATGTGTTTTCCTTTGAGGCTTTGGTTGAGACACTGCACATGTGTTTACGGCAAGTAGTTCGGCTTGAAATAGTGTAAGATGTTTGCCCAATGCCTTGGAGAGTCTAAAGTTAGGGCCAGAAATGCCAAGTCCAGCTCCTTCCGTTAGTTTGGATTCATCTGTGTACCACAGAGATGCATTGTCTGCTTGTGGTAATTCTTTATTCTCCCATGATTGGCGCTCATTTATTACCACTGCGAATGGGATCTCTAAGTCCAATCTGACCATCATGTGGTGGCTTGGTTTGCTGGCATTCTCCATTTTTATTATTTTAAAGATACGCAGATGTCCCCTCAGATCACCAGGCTTGAAGTTGTCTGTTTGGAATAGCCTGTGAGCGTTGATTATTGTCTAATTTTTCACACATAGGTGAAATGGAGGCATGTTAAGCAACGTCTCTAGAGCTGCGGTGAGGCAGGTCGACATTACTCCCGCTATTCCTAGGCATATTAGCCTTTGTACCTTGTTTAGCTTGATCTGAGCGGTGACTTACTAAGTTTTTGGCCATCATGGGCTTTATTAGAGTTTGGTAAATCCAGAATACCATCTTTGGCTTTAGCCCCCATGTTTCACGGTATGGCCAGATGGCTGATATAGCTCTAGAACATGTTTTCTCTAACTGTTTATTCCAAGTGAGTGTTTGGTCCAGGATGGCCCCCAAGTATTTCACTTCATTGGAAAATGTTAGTTGTGTACCGTTGAGGGTGATGGCTTTCAAATTTAGCTTCCTTCTTCTTGTGAAGGGGACAAGAATCGTTTTGCTTGGGTTTAGGCGTTTAGGGATAATCCCTCGCCTTAGCTCCAATTTTTAACTATGTTCAGAGCACTTTGAATTCGGCTTGTTATTACGCCTTCATATTTGCCCTTGATTATAATGGTCCAAGAGCCCAGAGCCGCCAGACACAACTTATTTTCTAAAGGACAGAATATGTGGGATTGAGTAGCACTTATAGGTACTATGAACGTATGTATACTCGCTAAGTTGGGTAGACGGCCAGTTGACTGTTATTTGTAAATAACGGTTTTTCCCATTATGGGAAAAACCGAATCCCATTTCTACTCTAGCCTAGAGTAGACTGTAAGTTTAAGAGGGGGAAATAGATATCTCGCTCACTCTCAAACGCATGCATAGTACCCTCGCGCTCACACTCACGGAAAAACTATTATTGCGTCTGGGGGGATGTTTGGCCGGTGCTATTGGTCTGGCTGAGCACACGTAGTTATGAAATAGTCTCCCCAATAACTACACAACTTAGCGGGTATACATACGTTCATAGTACATATAAGTGCTACACAATCCCACATATTCTGTCCTTTAGAAAATAAGTTGTGTCTGGCGGCTCTGGGCTCTTGGACTATAATATAATGGCCAGGTCATCTGCATAGCCTATGACCTGGTATCCAGCACTACTCAGTTTGGTGAGGATTTTATCCACCACTAGTGTCTATAGTAGTGAAGAAAGAACACCCTCTTACCGTGGTAGCGGTAGCTGATGCTCCGTTTATTTCAGCCGTAACATAACGGTGATTTAGCATCGACTCTATCCATTCTACAATTGGGATTTCAACATTCCATTTTTGTAAGGCTTTAGCGATTGATTGATGTGAGGTGTCGTCGAAGGCACTCTCTATGTCAATGAATGCTGTGAGAGCGATCTCTTTGCACTCGATTGTACTTTCAATGTCTTTAACCAGACATTGTGTTGTGGATTTGCCTAGCTGATAGGCAAATTGCTTTGAGTGTGTTCTAAATAGAGTTTCGCTTCTGATGTACTAGTCAGTTGCTTTCTCCATTGTTTTGAGGAGAAAGGAGGTTATAGACGAATGGGACAATATGATTTTTCTGTTAAATCTCGCGATCCAATTGTTTATCAAGGGTATGGAATTATTATTAGGCTTAGGGATCGATAGTGGTAGTAAAAGCCACTTTTTTAGCAAGCCAACGTTTCGCAAAATTATATTTGCATCATCAGGGCCCTACGAAAAGCAACATAATGAGATCTCTAAAGAAAAGCACTAAAACTCGCATTAGGAGACTTTTAAAATCAACTAGCTATTTCAAATACAAAATTTAAATTTACAATTGCAATTTTAAAAAAAAGTACAAACAAACAATAGTAATAAAATTGATACATAATTTCAAGCATTAGGTACATGGCTGTTATCATCAATTATGCAAAACAATAGGGGTCTAAGGCTGACTAAGTGTCAAAATTATGCAGTAGTAGTAAAAAAAAACAAAAAAAAATTAAAAAAACTTTATCTGAATTTCAAAAAATCAACGAGAAGGAGAAAAAAAAAGCACATATAAAAGGACTTACATATTATAACTGTGACTTTCTTGTTCAAGAATTAAAGTAGCAGGAGTTATTCATTGAAAAAAGACGTCAACCAAAAACAGTACAGTGCAACGTTATCGATGGTTTGAGTATAAAGTAGGAATTGATACAGATCGAAGCAAGGACAACACATATTACCCAAAATATTCAGGTTTTTTTGCGGTCTAATAAATTAAAGTATGCATTGCTAAGCTGATGAATATCAGTTCTCTTATTTACAGGGTGTCTCTTGTTTAATACTACAGATCATTAAGAAGTTCTTACAGTCGTTTTTGTGTTCATATATCTTTTGTTTCAAGTACCTACTTGTTTGGCCTACATAGCAACCTTCACAATTCGCACAAGGCACCCTATATACGACATTGGATAACTGGCCCATTTCCGTTCTAGATTTTAATTTAGTGAAAAACAGTTTTTTAATGGAATTTGGCCTCTTTTGTGCAATCCTGATTTCTGATTCTGATTCTTTGTGAAAGGTTTTTAATAAATGGTATCTTGGCACACTTGAGATTTATATTATTTGTTTCTGTTGCCTGAGGTTTCTTGTTGTTAAATACGGGGTAACAATTCTCAATTCAAAATAAATTTTATAAAACAGCATTCTCAAGGGTAAAACAAGCACAAAGAAAAAAGTTTAATAAGTTATTGAGGAACCAAACAAGTGTTAACATTGATTTTCCTCGGCCCCCAAATAACTGAAAAATGGATTTTAAACCTTGCTAATATTGATATGCCACATCATGTTCAATATATTTTAAGCTTGAGAAAAAAATTTAACTTACCTTAGGTATACTGAGAAAACATTACCTATCAACCAACTAATAATAGATATAAAATACGCGATAGATAGTTTAGATGAGGACAAAAAATCAATGTTAGAAACAAATGCAATAATATTTTGTCCAATTTTGTTAACTCTTCGAATTCTCGAAATAAAAAGAAAGATGTAGAAAAATACATTATTGATTGCTCAAAGGCAACGTATTCTTTTCTTAAAAATAGGAAAAACGAAATTTTTGTAACTAGGGCTGACAAGGGCAATATTACGGTAGTAATGAGCTTAACTGATTATAATCAGAAAGCTATAACTGCATCCTCAGTAACAAGTCAACATGCACTAAATTAAAAAGTGACCCCATTACTAGCATTCAGAATAAACTCAACAAATTAATTGTCAAGCTAGAATCAGAACAACAATTAACCACTGAACAGGCTGAATATCTTAAAACAACCAATGGCGTCGCACACAAAAATATACTTTTTACCAAAGGTACATAAGAGAGGAACACCACTAAGGCCCATTGTATCTTTTGTGGGATCTCCTCTTCAGGGCCAAATTATGGACTGACTGGTAAACGTCTCGTTGTTACCTAGCAGATACTTTCTATACACTAGAGAAAAAAAAGTACCTGCTAGGTAACAACCAGACACTTACCAGTTGGTCCATAATTTGGCCCTTACAAAACTAACCAAATTTCTGTCAAATTTACTTAATAATGCCTTCGTATGAGATAACCATCATGTTAAAGATTCATTTCAATTTATAAGAGAACAAAAAATCCCACAAGGTTACTTTTTAGTTTCATTGGATGTAGTTTCACTCTTTACGACTTAGTGTGTCAGTTGATATCCAAAAGATGGCACCTCGTAGAACCCAATACTAATTTAAGTTTGGTAAATTTTATTACTCATTTTAACTTTTATATACTGATAATATATTGTTTACAGTTTGGAATTGATGTTTATAGACAGATATATGGCTTGGACATGGGCAATTGCATGTCTCTTGTATGTTCTGACATACCGAACTGCAGGACAAGTACTTAAGCGAGTTATCATTTGGGGTGCCATTCTTCTGCAGGTACGTTGATGATATAATCACACTTATTCCTGAAACCAAGTGCGAAAAAGTTTTAGAAGTTTTTAATCAATTTTACTCAAGATTACAATTCACAATGGAAAAGGAAAATTATTTTAACATACCATTTTTGGACGTGAGAGTTATTCGCGATGAAGACACTGGTGGTTTAAAAACAGAAAACAGATTGGTATCACAAACCAACATTTTCTGAAAGATTTTTAAATTTTTACTCTGAACACCCACTACAACAAAAAATTAATATCATAAATAATCTCAAAGACCGATATGAAAAACTATCTAATCCAGAATTTCACGAGAAGAATGGTGATTTTGTCAGGGACGTGCTTTTGAAGAATTGTTACCCCGTATCACTTTTTAACAAAGTATTTAACTACAAGAAAGCTCAGGCAACAGAAACAAATAATATAAATCTCAAGTATGCCAAGATACCATTTATTAACAACCTTTCACAAAGAATTAGACGTACTTATAGAATCAGAATCGGAAATCAAGATTGCACAAAAGAGTGAAAATTCCATTAAAAAACTGTTTTTCACTAAATTAAAATCTAGAAAGGTAATGGGCCAGCCATCCAATGTCATATATGTATAGGGTGCCTTGTGCGAAGTGTGAAGGTTGCTATGTAGGCCAAACAAGTAGGTACTTGAAACAAAGGATATATGAACACAAAAACGACTGTAAGAACTTCTTGATTAAAAAAATCCAACAGCTTCGGTCGAATATAAAATTAATACAGGACAAAATTTTGACTTTGAGAAAACTAAAGTTATTACTTTACAAAGAAATCATAAACAGAGACTTTTACAAAAATTGATTTGCATCAAACAAGAAAGACACCCTGTAAATAAGAGAACTGATATTGATTAGCTTAGCAATGCATACATTAATTTATTAGACCGCAAAAAAACCTGAATATTTTGGGTAATATGTGTTGTCGTTGCATCGATCTGTATCAGTTCCTATTTTATACTAAAGCATTGATATAACGTTGCACTGTGCCGTTTTTGGTTGACGTCTTTTTTCAACCCTTACTGACCCTGAAAAGTGAGTTTGTAGCAGTACCTCTAGACTTTCTATATAGTCGGTACAATGCTCTCCGGTTGGCTTTTTTAGCAGACCAATTCTGTTTGAGTGGTTTTTTGAAAGGACATTATGGAGACGTTGAGGAACAACACATACATTTAGTATAAAAAAATTTGCAATTTAGTTTTTATTTCATAGTTTTATGCATAACTTGACTGGATATTATCTCCATTTAGTTGATAGAGAATCCAGAAAATATTACGGATATTCTGTTGGCGAGCGGTTATTTATATTTATATCTGGTTGGTGACAAAAATGCACGTGGGATTTGAGAGCAAAACTGCCTTAAAATTCTCCACATAAGAATTCAGAAGGACAAATAGAGGAAGAGGAAAAAAGAAAGAATGCTTTTAAGAATATCGGATTCAAAATGTTATCAAGTAATTCTCTCAAAATTTCAATTCAAATCCCTTATCGATTATGCCTTTTTGTTTCTAATTTTTCAAAGGTGGAGTATGGCATCCCCTAAACCTCCGCCACCACCTTCAGGAGGCATGTGTCCCAGATTGAGCGTGCGCCAGGGAGCGATGGCTTTGAGAGGGATAGCGCGTTTCCTTCACCGAGTCCGACCCCAACACACTGGCGGCGGCGATTCAAAACAATCCAAACCGGTCAAAGGGAAAAAAAGCAAACGAATGGGCGAAAAAGAAATCTACAAGTGTTCGCCGAAACTTATCGAGAAGTTGAAGAAGGATACTTTGTTTACAAGGTGAGAGTTAGTTTAATGCATACAATAATAACTTTCATCAATAATTGTCGAAGATAAGGAAGTTTCTGAGGCCATAATGAGACTTGTTGTTGAGTTCAAATACTTCACCTTGTACATTTTTCCTTTTCTGATATCCAACTGAATTTAAATTGATTTCCAATGGATGCTTCTTATTGTTGTGAATATAGTGCATAAATTCCCATCATAATTACAAGATTTCTTCTGTGCAAAACCTTGAGCTTTATTCACCTATTATTATCATAGTTCCTAGGATTTTGTATTCAACATTTTCAGGTGGCTACAAGTTTTATTTTTTTCAATCGGACCAATTTGTCTCCACATTACTGCTATCCATGAATTCTTCTACTGTTCAGGCTACATCTGCAAGATTTCATGGATAGCCATCTATATTTCAAATTCACTCAATCTGTGTATCTGTATCTGCATCTTATTTTTCTTCTTTCTCTTGTCCAACTTCATTTTTATCGCTCGTCTCTTTTTTTTATATCATATGAGCCTTTTCAGCTCTAGTGCGAATTTCATAATTCAATATGGTAATTTTTCACCATGATGTACACACAAGATTCACAAAATTCAACTTCAACTATTTCAATATTTTTTATACCATCAGTTACCAAATTGTTTTCTAATAATTTTCACAAATTTGCATTACAAAATATGACCTGATTTATTATGCCATAATTTGAAATCGTCACACTCAATTTTGAATATTTAAAAAGTATTATTGACTTGAAAAAAATAATCATAATAACATTTGTCGTCATCATTTATTAGATAATCAGTATAAATTGGTATTACAGTTTTGCAGTTAATCTGCTAGTCTCAGTATGTTCATTTTCTTCTGGATTTTTCATATTATAGTTCATCTATGATTGATTCTGTCTTGATATCAATTTCCATTAAGTTTGCTTCTATTCCTGTATTAGTTGTTCTATAATTTTTATGTCGTTATTCTCAATTTCTATCAAAAATACCTTGAATATGCTCTAAAAGCCTTTAATTGTTTTCAGCAATCGTTCTGGTAATGTTCTCTTTTCCTTTTCTCTTCTCTTAGAATTAACTGGCTTGAAATGACTTTTTTTTCATAACTTATCTTCTAAGTTAGTCCATTATGCAAAAAGCTGTATCTTTTCATTTATTATAATAGACATTCATTATTTTCAGCTGATAATGCAATCCATTCACTTATTTCTGAGCCGATGACCTGTTATTGTTAGGATTTGGTTACGTTTTTTCATGTACCTACCTACCTCATCAACAATCGAAATATACGATTGCCAATTTATTGACATTCGAGATGAAATTCGAAAAGTTCGAATCGTATATGCAATTACCCTTCATAATAACCCTTTCGAAATCGATTCACTAGAAAATTATCCGTGATCGGTTTTTTGAAGCAGGATTGCGTGCATACGTGAGTGAACACGAAATCAAAATTGATGGGTTTTGTTTTTGCTGCAAAACGGTTGTATTATTAAATGCGTTTCTCTATTTTGCCCTCTATAGGAAAACTTTATAGATTTGTTGTAGATTGTTGGTGTATGATAACTTTATTTATTCTATATGACTGTCGCGTACCTTTCTTTTTTTTTACTCCGTAGGCGGAGCAATTGCTAAACATTCATTAAGAGCTGCTTTCGGGTGCCACTTTTTGAGCGCTCCTGAGTTACTCCGAAGTACTCCAGCTATAGTTTGACCCATTCGGTATCAAGCAATCTAGTGCATGGAGTATGACAGGTGTGAAGTGTCCTAACTCTGCACCCGAAAGCGACTCTGGACATGAATAGAGGTTTCCTCATCTTCCAGACAGAATCTGCACTCGAGGTCTTCTACGATCCCTATCCACCGTTTGATATATTCAGCACATGCTGATGTTCGGATTGGTCCTTCGTGGTTACCCACTTTCACAACATCATAACGGTCATTTGCCTTAGCCTTCACAATTTCATAAGGCCCAAAAAACTTCCTTTTTAATTTGAGTCCAGGACCAAATTGCGTTCTTTTTATGGTCACTATGTCTTTTTCCTTATAAAGTCTGTTTTTTTTTTAAAGATAAAAGTCAAAATGACATTATGTTGGCAATACAATGTAAAATTGTCAATGCTTTCAAATTTTTTATGTAGAAAAGGCTTGTGTTGCCAACATAGTTACTAAATTTTTGACTTGGGGAATTATCTTAAAAAAAAAAACAGATTTTATATTGTAGCCTTTTTTCTCCTTAAATTGTATCCTTTTTTGTTTTCAGTCTGTACTTTTCTAATGTGTCCCTTACTTTTTTCTCTCATCTCTATTCTCTCTTCCTCGAAAATTTTTATTACTTTTTCTTCCTTATTTTTCATTTTCACTACCAACCAACACTTCAAATGGTGTGGTGCCTATACTTCGTTGGTATGAACAATTTAATGTCATCTGTACTTTATCGACGTACTTTTACCACTTTGTAGGGTCATTTAAACTTAGTTTCGTGAGAATAGGAATTGTGACGGAACTAGCTATTGCCCCTTTTTGGGCTTTAGTCAAACCGCACCAGGGATGCCATTAGTTTTTACTTTGACTGACTGTAAAAATTAACCACTAGGTATTGGATCATTTAAGCCTTGAATTGGGTTAGGGGTGCCTTGATTCTCATTTATACAAATAAAACGCTGAAATAGAGTAATTATCAATTTAATTGATAAATGAAAGTAATTCGGTATAGTCAGCAATCAAATCCTATTTAAAAATTCCCAATTGGACGTCCAGTCGAACTACAAATTTTATACTTATCTAAAGTAAATGAATATCTTGATTTATAAAGGGTAGGGAAATCTGATAAAGATAATAACATCCATTTATGGTTAAATATTGAATGAACGAGAACACAAATTAACTAATTAAATGCACGAGAGCCCAACATAAATAATTCGTCAACTTCCATCAGTTCACTGTAATCACAAAATGTTTATTGATCCTTGAAAGTTCTTTTATTTATCGAGAGTTAACAATTTGAGCACTTTTCTGCGGAAGTCTGTAAACAATATGTGCAAGAAAAGTCTTATATATATGCTTAGTTTCTATATACAAATGTACAAATGTTAATTTCACAAGTGTGAAAAGCAAATTTCTGCATTAAACGTTAGAAGACACTTCAAATTATAGTGCATTTCAAGCGAATCACTAATCAGTATTTATTGTTCGACTGTTAGAGAAATTGTAACGGTCTTACTTGCTTAGTCCGGTTCAAGCAGATAAATCCACAAGGCGATTATTTATCCATTTATCACTATTCACACTGGCAGCTAGGGAATTTTCCACTGAGATGAAAACTTGAAAACACAACGATATATAGGCGCGTTGGAGCCCGGCGAGAGTGAGAGAGAGAACCAAAAACAATCGCGTGGGAGAGAATTTTGCTCGTCCGAGGTGACTTGCAACAATTAGGGGCTAATTACATGAATTGTAATCAATAATATAGACCATGTCAGGCCTGGAGATACAGAGAGTAGTATTTTTACCATAAATCGAGCGTACTAACAGGGGTTTTGGAGTTTTGCTTATGGGAAGCATTCAGAGTGCGCGAGGGTGCGAACTCTTCGCTTATTCTAATAGTACTGAAGAATGTGCGTTGACTAGACTCTGCCAGGGGAGCAGGTCGTAAAAACTAGAGATTTTGTGTGGCGGCTGACCAATCACAACGGCGAGACAGGTTCACTACCTTATAAGGTAATGAAGAAACCTGCAATTTTATCGGTTCAAAGGGTTGTTGTTGCCGGTTTTACAGGATAAATAGTCCAGCAATAGCATCTATTTTTAGAATATTATTTTTATGGTTAATAATAGAAATTGAGATATATTAAATTAGAAATAATAAAAATTAAACCTGTTGTGGGTTATTTCCGCAACAAGTTATAATAGTTCTATTAATTCTTTCGACCTGTCCATTGCTTCGAGGCACTCCACATGTTGTCAAAATATGTTTAATGTTTTCGTTCTAACAGTAGGTATCAAATTCATCTGAACGAAAAGCAGTTTCCCTGTCTGTTATAACTCTTGATGGATTGCCAAAAAGATATCTGTCCTCCAAGGCGCTCGCCATTGATTTAGTGTAGACCAGAAGGTTCGTAACAGTTGAACAACCCTTAACAAACCCATGTTGGTATGACGATAATACACTGTACACTAAAGGAGATATCTTATTAGTTAATATTGATTCAAATACCTTTGCGATAATACTTAACTTAGAAATTGGCCTATAATTATCAACCAAAGATTTATCGACACTCTTGAAAATTGGAGTTACTCGAGAATCTTTCCATTGTGAAGAGAATGTTCCAGATGACAAAGATACATTATACAATTTTACTAAAATTTGAGACAATATATATTTACCTACACTCTTTAAAAAGTTGTTTAGGTAATTCATCAGGAACAGCTTATAGATTTGTTTTAATATTTATGATCGAGCTGAATACATCTATTACATTTATATCACAGGTATTAATATCAAGGGTTCTAAAGCATTCCTAGAAATTGTTCAGTTCGATATAATTTGCATGCTGAAAATCAAAATACTTATAATCAAAAGACATACTTTCCCTATTGGCCACAGACATATCCAGTGTAAATGATAAGGCTGGGTGATACTTATCACATGGTAATAGTGGACTACTACAAATATCAATCATTACATTTTGAGAGTTATATACAACAAGGTCTAGCACAGATCCCAAAGCATTTGATATATTCGATATTATTTATTTGAAATAAATTTAGGTAGCTCATAAAATCAACAATAACAGAGGCCTGGGGCCAAAATACCATTCAACACTGAGTCACCCCTGTCATCACACAGCCACTTGATTTCAGGAAGATTAAAATCACCACACAAACAGATCCTCGAGGTATATAAACGTTACTTAACAAAAATTTGCTTCCCTTGACAGACAGTATTACAAACAGTTGTTCCAAATGATTAATAGAAGTATATACTTGCACAGCTGAAAAGGCTTCATCCACTGCAAATAAGAACTCCTTCTCCTCATTTAAAAGTGCTAGTTTCAGCCGACCTATCACATCTGAACACGAAATAATCATTAAATCCCAATTCATCTCAAAATATAGTCAAAGAGTCAGGTTTCTGAGAGCATAACAACACCATATTCATCCAACAGCAATGCTTGATAAAGTTCCTTGAGCTTTGTCCTTATCCCCCGCGCGTTCTGGTAATAACATGTTAGTTAAGCGTGCCTCGTTGGGTTGATTTGATGAAAATTTCTACGATTGGAGGCAAAAGAGGAGAAACCATTCAAATTTCGTATTTTTTCCCTGTACCTTTTCACAGCACATCAACTGAACATTGTTTTAAATAATCAATCACACTTTGCTCAGATATCACTATTTAAATTACTGATATAGAACCAAGTACATTTTAGTCCTTAAGATCATTATTAGTGCCCTTTGTACTGGTTCTCTAATGTTGTGCAGTAGAAATATTACCCTTCGAAAATCCTAAACATGTCTATATCCAAAAAATATTCAGTGTAGGACCAAAAACTGATATTTGCGTATGACTTTTTGGCTGAAATACTGTTTTACAAATTATACTTCTCATAAATCTGTTACAGAAATGAAATTGAAGCTCTTTACAAGATTTACAAGAAGCTCGTCACCTTCAATAAGACCTCATCGAAAATCAATCAAAAAGCTGCAACTTCAGTAATTACAAGCCCTGTAACAGCTTCAGAGGTACCTACCTACTTTTTCATAAACTTTAAAACAAATCTTTCCAAAAATAGTTATTTTAGGGTATCGATAGGACAGTTTTCCGAGAAGTTCTCCACAACACGTTCGATATCGTCACCGAAAACATGCTGATGGATCGAATTTTTTGCGTTTGGGACAAACCTAACTGCGGCCTGATAACTTTGGACAGTTGGTTTTCCGGCATGTCGCTTTTCTTAAAAGGCAACACTACGAAACAAATCGAATACTGTTTCGCTGTTTACGATCTCAACGGCGACGGACACATTACTAAAGACGAAATGTTTCAGCTTTTACGGTAATAATTTTCAATGTTTTTATTATTTTTTGATTCATAGTTTTTAGAAATTGTTTGATTAAATTTCCACAAGAAGAAGATCCGGAAGAGAGCGTCAAAGATTTGGTGGACATAGTCATAAGGAAAATGGACAAGGACAAGGATGGCAAAGTGTCTTTGGCCGATTACCAAGAAACTGTAATTGGTGAACCTTTGCTGTTGGAAGCTTTTGGACGGTGTCTACCAACTGAGAAATCGAAAATTACTTTCTTGACTACTTTGAGATTCTGAATTGTTGTGATTTACTGATATAGAATTTGCCATTATGAGAAATAGAAAATTTAGAAATTGAGTTTTTGCTTGAGTCTTCAGGAACTAAAAAACAAACCATTTATTACCTACCCACAATCACGATTCCCATATGTACTATATAATAATAATAATTACAAACCTTATATACTAAATCTAATTCTAAATGGATTGCATCAACAATTTATGCAATTTGTAAGTGAAGATCTTCTCAGAAATTGAATGTGTTTTATTAGGAAATCAAATGAAATTTTTCCGAAGAACACCTATTATTATGTAATTATGGGTACGATTTTAATCTATACAAAACTTTCATTAGATATTATTTTTCCTAATTAGATCTTGATGGTGATAACAATCGCAAAATTACATTTTGCAATGGACGATGGAAATATTATATACCAGCTGAAATCTTAAAATTTGACTACAATCCAATCATGATTATTGAGACAGCATATCAAATCAGCGGTTTGTGACATAATTCGTGGTCCAATCTTCACATTTTGTACAAACAAAACACGCTCATTTCGCAACTAGTGATATAATATATACTTACGTTCCAGTAGATCAAAACAAACAAACCCATAAATAGGTATTATAATATTAAATGAAGGAATTCTTCAAATGTAACCGTTCATTATTATACGACTTTTAATATTCATTATTGTTAAGAGTTATTTGTTAACAGCCTGGTAATACAATACGGGCGATTACGCCATACCGGCAAAGATGTAACAAAAACATCGTTTTTTTTACTTGATGTCATTAAAAATAATAATTGCGTGACAAATGATCAGATTGCAAAACATCAATTTTCTTTGCATGTTGTAAAAGTCCCCTTATTCTTTTCATATTTTTTGATATATATACTTACCACCAGACTTTTGTGATGATGTCAAGAGATTTTGAATAAACAGTGGGGGCTTTTAATATTTTACCTACGAGCGTGCGGTAAAGTGCACTTTACCGCACGTATTTGCAAATGGAAAGTATCATTTTACCGCACACTATGGTGTGCGGTAAAGTTAACTTTACAGCATAGTATGCGGTAAAGTGGACTACAAAGTGTGCAGTAAAGTGCACTTTACCGCACTGCGGTTGCGTGCGGTAAAGTATCACTTTCCGCATTTGTTAGGTAAATAACTATTACAAAATACATAAAAAAAAGAAAGAACTTGAATATATTTTATTATCAAAGTATTTTCAGCTATTTTCAAGGCACAAAGTTACCTATTTTCCTAGTTTGCGTCCAAGAAATTGAAGTCTTTTTGCGAAGGAAGCTATTTTCTTGGGGGATAGTTGGCACACTCTTGGGGGTATTTGAGCATTTCCCAGAGTTGGGCCGGAGAATCGCAAAGTAAATGTTTTGTGTTTTCAGCTGCCGCTTTTGTTTGTGGTGTTTAACTGGCTCGTTGGCTTGGCGAGAGGATGTGGGAGGACTTTCTCAGACTTGCGTGATGTCGATGGAGTATGAATGCTGACCATGGATTGCGAATCGGACCATCTTAGGGTGGGGGATGGGGAGGAGTAGAGTCCATGCAAATAATATAAGCCACAATGAGCTTCAGTGCAGAACATGGGCTCGAAAGGGTGACAAAGAAAAAATCTGTTCATGTGTGGATAGGACTTCTTCTTTCCCCTTTTTTGTGATTAGTCATTTTGCCTGTCTCAGTCCTGGAGTTTGTCTCCAGTATGTGGACAATTGGTCTTTCTCCCATTTATACATATAGTTCGTTTGTTACGTGGTCTTCATTAGGCCGCGAAATGGTGTTTCAGCACCTTAGTTACGAGTGGCATTCCCAGACTACCTTTGATACGCATTTACAGGCCTTCACAGCCTTAAGAGCCGCTTGGCTGTCTGATAGTATATTGGAGTTAGTGCAGGATTCGAACTGATGGCCGAAAATCTGCCAGGTGTGTGGGTTGGCTCAGTTGGTAGAGCTTCGTACTAGCAATGCGATGGTTGCAGGTTCAAATCCCGCACTTACTCTAATTTTTCAATTTTCATTGAATTTGATTTGATTTCCACAAATTTTCTTTGTTGAATTTATTTGTCTAGGATAACCTATTAGCGCAAGTGATTGCATGGCCTTTTTTTCACACCTAGGTGAAGTGGAGGCATGTTCAGCGTCTCTGCTGCGGTAGGGCAGCTTAACATTACCCCTGTTATTCCTAGAAAAATTAGCCTTTGAACCTTCTTTAATTTGATCTGAGCGGTGACCTACTCAGTTTTTGGCCACCATTCCGATGAGATATATGTGACCATGGGCTTTAATTACTGTCTGGTATAGAACCAGTATACTGTTCTAGGTTTGAGCTTCTATGTCTTGCCAACAAGTTTGCGGCATGTCCAGATAGCCACTACCACTCAAGAAAGTTTTGAATTTAAGAGCTGTGGTACGAGACATGGTTATAGACAGTGCCCGGCTTATGGTAAGCGTTGTAGACATTGTACTCGCTATGGTCCCTTTGAGGTTATGTGGTTTCCCAGTTTCCTCACCAGTACTTGTTTTCTCACTTGGTGGTGGACTTGCAGTAGCTGATGTGGTTCGCGTTGCGTTAGATATTGTGATACTCGTTGCGAATATTGTCTCGGTTGGTTTCCCAGTCTCCTCGCCAATACTTGTTTTCTCATGGATCAGGTAGCAGTAAACAGAAGCAAGTAAGGCAGGTTCAAGAAGCTGATGCTGATAATGAGTCTGATGGTGAGACTGTTAATTATGTGGTATCGTCAATATATGTTTTAATGAGATAAAAAATGGTAAAGAATGGCTGTTCCAGAATTTGCGATCCAATGTGTGCCCTGAGTATTTCACCTTATTGGAAAATGTTAACGTTCTCTTAAGGGTAGGTGCAAGGATTTTCAGCTTTCTCCTTCTTATAAACGGAACTAAAATGGTGTTGCTAAGGTTTAGAAATAGTTCCTCATCTTTGCTCCAGTGTTCAATGATGTTCAAAGCAGTTTGCGTTGGGTTGGTGATAATGGCTTCGTGCTAACCCTTGGTTATTATGATCAGGATCATCCGCGTTGCATAGGATTTAGTGCAGATTTGTTCAGCTTGGTAAGGATGTTAAGTAAGGGCGAGAGAAAGCCTCCTTGGGGACACCCTTTGACTGTAGATACGGTTATTGATATTGCTCCGTTTATTCCAAAGCTAACCGAGCTATAAATAGGCCATTTGAAGACATAAAACGAATACTTTCAATATTGTAACTAGGAAAGGACACGAAATATGGAAGAATTGTATCCATTAGAGATGGACTCTTCGATAAATTAATCAATATTACGACATAAGACATTTTATCGCACTCGCCCTTTAGAAAACTCGCCTGCGGCTCGTTTTCTAATATAGGGCTCGTGCGATAAAATGACGTCTTATGAAACTTGTATTTTAATGTACTATTTTAGAATAGTTTTCCATTTTACTGTGGGTAACATTAAAAAATGGGTATCAGCAGAAAATCACAAACAAAAATAAACACTTTTTGAGTCTGAACATTATAAACATAGCTATCAGCTGTCAAAATTATGAATGCAAAATAAGGTAATACTCTAGCACCTACTACAGTCTTCCAATAACTGTTTTTTTCTTGGAAAAATAGTGCTGATGTACTAATAAAATAACGTAGATCCTTAATACTGCCAGGCAGTATTTAATAGTTCCAATAACTCTCTAATGACAATCGAAACAGCATTATTTGAGTCCATCCAAAAAAACACAAACTAAGCTTCTGTATTATTGCTGATTGAATAATTATTCATGTGAAGACGAAATAAATCAGCAGTTTTGTACTAGCGGAAAATGAAAGTGGAGCTTAACAATATAGTAGGGAAATATTTTTCGTAAGCTTTAAGGTCACTAAAACAACGCCGGGGCTTATTTATTAACATTTCAATGTTTATTCAACAATCGCACACTGGAATATTATCGGTGTTTTGTTTTATTTGTACCTATTAAATGAACGTTTTTTTCTGGTTTTGGTGTGTTAACAAAGTATAAATTATTATTTCCGTTGTTTGCTAATGAAAAGTAAGTACTTATTGAAGTAATTGCAAAATACCTACTAAGTTGATTGTTTTTAGTATAAATGAGCCATTATTAATTTTTTAATAGTTACACATTACCTACATAATATGATTAATAAATAATTCATAAGGCACTTTCACTCTTCAAAAAATAATTCAATTAAAAATTAATAAAACAATAAATGCGTTGGAAAATATAGGTACCTACCACAAACTTTACGCTAATGATTGTTTATACAATGCAATATAGTATATAGTGGGGAACTTTGATTCTTTAGGGGGGTCAATGGTACCGCGTAGGCTAGCGAGATCAACATTGGAGCATTTTATTTGATTACAATAATTGGATGAAATAACAGTTTTTGATAAATCGTTTATGTTGAAGAAGATTAGTGCAAATGTGTTGTGTAACTTTCGGGATTTAATTTTTAATTTGTAAGTTGTTGTAGATTTTTATTAGGCTGGTACCTACTACCTTCTTTCGAAATTTCAAATATTGCCATGTTTTTATTCATAGTTTTTTGAAATGTATCTTCAATAGGTAGTACCAATAATGTAGTACCTATCTTCCTTCAAAAATGTTAATGGTTTAAATTTTTCCATATTGAATTTTTGACTCATAAAATTTTCTCCTTTTTCCTTAGTAGTATTGTATCTTCGGGACTGGACTCTGGAACTATAACTCGAAACAAGCTGAAAGTTTCAGGATCTACAGTCTTTCGCTAGAATAAGATTCTCTAAAAAACTTCAGTTTCCTATTTATGATACAACTGAAGATATGATTTTTTAAAGTTTTTAGAAATTTTATCTTCCTTCTAAAATGTTGAAATTTTGAATTTTTTTCATGTTGAGAAATTGACTTTAAATTTAACTTTCGTTTATGGATATATACATCTGCGATACGATATTTTCAAAATATCGATATGCCTCCAATTGTATTGATATTTGAAATTCAAATATCGATATCTGTATTGATAGTATACATTGATTTTGATATCATCCATAATTAACTTGATTTGACATTTTGAATTTGACTATTAATTGGAAAATTTGAAAGTTCTAGTGTGAAAAGAGGGAGAAAAGGAGCTCATCATACTGACATCTCAAATTGATTCGATGAAAAATGGCAACATGATAAAATCTTGAAAAGCAACTTAAAAAAACCAAATTAAGAAAACTATCTACTCACTTTCACATTTTTATAATTTTTCGAAGATTGTTGACGGGAAAATTTAGAAAATTTTGGGATAAAAAGAGGAAGAAAATGAGCTCATCATACTCAAATTTCAAATCAATTCGATGAAGAATGGCAACATAAGAACATATTGAAAAGCAACTTTAAAAAAACAAATTGAGAAAAATGCACATTTTCACATTTTAATGATTTCTCGAAAAACTGTTGATGCGAAAATTTTGAAACTTTTTGAGTGAAAAAAGGAAGAGAAGGAGCTCATCATACTGAAATTTCAAATGGATTTGATGAAAAATGGCAACATGAGAAAATCTTGAAAAGCAACTTAAAAAAACCAAATTAAGGAAAATACTCACTTTCACATTTTTATAATTCTTCGAAGAACTGTTGATGGACAAATTTAAAAAAAATGAGCTCATCATTCTCAAATTTCAAACTAATTCGTTGAAAAATGGCAACATGAGAAAAAATTGAAAACCAACTTAAAAAACCCAATTTAGGGAAAATGCACCCTTTCACATTTTAATGATTTTTCAAAAAACCGTTAATGAGAAAATGTTAAAACTTTTGGAGTGGATAGAGGAAGAGAAGGAGCTCATTATACTGAAATTTCAAAGTCATTCGATGAAAAATGGCAACATGAGAAAATCTTGAAAACCAACCTAAAAAAACCAAATTAACAAAAATACTCACTTTCACATTTTTATAATTCTTCGAACAACTGTTGATGGGAAAACTTAAAAAAATTTGGGGTAAAAAGAGGAAAAAAAGGAGCTCATCATAACTTAATTTCAAATTAATTCGATGAAAAATGGCAACATTAGAAAAAATTGAAAACCAACCTAAAAATCCCAATTTAAGGAAAAACCGTTAATGGGGAAATGTTGAAACTTTTGGAGTAGAAAGGGGAAGAAAAGGAGCTCATCATAATGAAATTTCAAATTGATTCGATGAAAAATGGTAACATCAGAACATCTTGGAAACCAACTTAGAAAAACCCTTTCAAATTTTGTTTTTTCGAAAAACTTATGATAAAGATTATTGAATCTTTTGCCTCATTAATTATTATTACATCAATAGTAATCAAAGAAGATCTTTGAAAAGTTTTTTTTCCATTAAAAACGGTAATATGAATGTTTAAATTTCAAGAAACACCTACTTGATGTTGTTGCTCTAATTTATAGCATTTCTGCCATTAATCATTGTAGCATTGCAATAAATGATCTTTCAAATTTCTTTTCAATTGCAATTTCCATTGAACTGAAACTTACGCAACCATTGACTATTCGAAGAACCATTAGCTCGGTACCAAACGTATAAAGAACGCATTGATCAACTTTTATATAGTTTCATAATGAAACAACTCAACGATCTTGCGGCGGAACCAAAGTTCAAGAGACTGGGTATTGGCACGTGAGAATGTTATGCAATATTTTAATGACCGAGATTATCCAACGATTTTGGATTATTTAAAAGCGACAATACCTTCATAATTAAACCTACAATCTAACTATTCCTAAAGAGAAATATATAAATGACATAAGCTTTCCCAAGAAAACAACAATAAGTTTTGAAAAATTGAGACAAAATACCTATCTCTGATGAGTCTAAAAGAAAACGAAATTAAACCTTTTGTATCTCAAGCTCTGTTCCAATAGACAAATATTTGATTAATAATAAAATCAATTCTAAATACAACTCGATGGATCCATTGATTGCTACATTACAACCTTGATCACCGTAAAATGTTTTTAAAACCCACTGGTTTTGTTGACTGTAATGACTGTTATCGTTTCACCAACAACAATCCAAATGACTGATTCTTCTTCTCGAAAGTAGGTGAAGGCAAGGAGCATCATCGAACAAAGCTGCTATTAAATAAACAATCACGTTGCTCAACAAAATTTATTCTAACTGCATTTGCACAAGAAACTGTTTTTTCTTTAAGCATCCGAAAAATTGTTGAAGAAAACTAAAAACGAGGCTAATAACCAGTACAGTTTTACTAATAATTTTCATTGTGAGGATTGTTGCGTAAACGAAATCTGCACTAAAGTGCATATGCGAGACCTTTTACTACAATTTCAAGGCTAGTTTTGCAATACTGAAAAGTGGCTTAAGGTCCGACATTTTGCAATCAGAATCAATTTTGTTGAACAGATAAAATTTTATAACTGTCCTTCTAATGCCATTTTGGTCCTTTTTGATAGGAGTTGAATTTAAATAAACGAAATATGTATTACCAAATAATCTCCTTAAATACCAGTCATTTTCATTTTTCTAAAGAAAGATTTTTCAAAAAAAAAAGTGTTAATTGATTTAATTTCAGATTCTTAAAATGGACATGATAATATACCTCCTTTTATTGTTTGTGTTGACAATAGGAGCACTAACACTATATTTCTTCATTCTGGACCACCTTTGGAGTTTGTTACAGCTAGCGAATGCCTTTCTTGCACCGCTTTTCCTTCCAAACAAAGACGGGTCGTTGTCTAAAAAATATGGTCCATGGGCATGTAAGTACCAAATTAAAATTCCATTGCTGTGTAAGTACCTAAATGTTTTGTTGTATTTAAATTAATGTCACGATTTTTATGATGGGAAAAAAAACTGGGTTAAATATTACGACCTTCATGTTTATTATCAACAAGAAACTGATGAAACTAGAGTAGTTATTAAAACAAAAAATACTTACGAAGATGGTCAAAAATGTATTACTTCATTGCGATAACTACTACATACATCCTTATGAAGATGGTCAAAAATGTATTACTACATTGCGATAATTACTACATACATACTTCGATTATTAATTACTTTCATTTTCCTTCATTTCAACATAACAAATTGTTTTTGGCACGTTTAAGACTACTGGTGTTAGTTTGAACGATTGGTTATGTAAATTTTATGTGGTAAATGGCAAATAAATAAAGGATGATGTTTACATAGATTATTTATCAACTCAAAAACTATTAATGATTTTACTTAGGAGCACTTTTACTTTGAATAGAAATAACTCATTAAGGCTATGGTCCGAATATAACCAAACGTTAACCATAATAACCGAATCGGTTGCCAGATGGTTTCTGAAAATTCCGGTCACTTGGGGAACGCGAATATGAAATAAGAAATAATTTGCCAGAATTTATAGATAAAACCAACATAACGGACATCCGATAGCCAGTAACTATTTTGATATTTGGTTAACCAGATTTCAGGAAACCAAGGTCCAAAAGTAACCACTTTTCCAGGAACCTTCTACACCTATTCCATATGTATTTCAGACAGCGTCAGTTTAATTTCAGAAAGCGTCAATTGCAATTTAGATTGGTGAATTGTATTTCGGAAAGCATCAATTGTATTTCAGATTATTTAATTTTATTTCGGAAAGAGTCAATTGTATTTCAGATTAGTTTATTTTATTTCAGAAAGTTACAATTGTATTTCGGATTAGGTATTTTTATATCGGAAAGCATCAATTGTATTTCAGATTAGTTTATTGTAGTTCAGAAAACGTAAATTATATTTCAGAAATTGTAAGATGTAGTTCAGAAATCATCAGGTATCTACGGAGATTTTTCCAAATCAACACAATACCCGAGTCAAGTTAGCATTTGACCTAGACAAAAATATTATAAAGCTGATTTTTGGTAGAGATCATGCCTGAGGGCTAAATTGCTTAAAAGTCCTGGCCAATCCTTCTTCCGCAACCCCCTTGTTTCGCCCCCTAACCCCCACCTTTTTAATATTTTGATGATTTTCTCGAAAACTATCCACGTTAAGGAAAAATGTCAGGAAAGCTTTTCTGAAGCTGACAAAATTTCCCTTGCAATGACGTATTGTGAGCCCATATAGTGCCACGTCGTACGCACCAGTGGCGTATCAAATGAAGGGTCAGATTTGAAAAATATACGCTGTTTCCTATTTATTCTCAGTTTTTTTGATCTAAGCATAATTTTTTTAGAAGAAACATATTTTTTTCTGAAACGACCATTGAAAGGTAGTCTACTTGTGAATCTATAAGAAGTGTATCGCAATCACTTCAGCCAAAAAAAAAAAATTAGAAGTTTATCCGAGACTTCTCAGCTATCAATTTGCCAAATAACTGGTGCGCCTAACGCTTTGCGCGACGTTGAGGAAGGTAAGGTTCATTTCGCGAAAGGTTGTACTTATGACATCGATATGTCATAACTTGGAAAAAAAGGTTTCTCGTAGATTGCTCCATATCATACACCATAGATTCAATATCGTTCAGATTTTGTATTGTACCCATTGAATGACTTCTAGGCAAAAGTACAAACCCTCGTAAAAAAAACAGTATCTTTTTTATCTTGACTGCGCTTGTGTAACAGAGTTCAATGGGAAGCGAGTTTGTCACGTGTTTGCGTCATATTTATATTCAGGGTTGGGAGTCTGTAACACATAGAGACATTTTCTCTATTTCTATTGACGTCCCCTGTCTATACATTGATTTCGGAAAGAGAGAAGAAAACAGAAAGTGCCATAGCGATAAGGATAACGATCTCTTACTATAACAGAGTCCAGGGGCGAGTTCTGGAGAAATCGTTCCTTCTTTGTTTGTAACGTGTAATCCGACAAAAAGCGAACTAATACTTTACTTTATCACTTCTGAACTCACCGCAGTGTTATTTAATAGTATATTCTTCAACGAGCATTTAATAATAGCCATTATTTGCGAGTAGAAAAGTATACTTTCTCTTCGAACTTTTTGAAAGAAAATCTACACCTTTTCCATATGTATTTCAGAGAGCGTCAGTTTAATTTCAGAAAGCGTCAATTGCAATTTAGATTGGTAAATTTTTATATCGGAAAGCATCGCAAATGTATTTCAGATTAGTTGATTGTAGTTCAGAAAACGTAAATTATATTTTTCTACTGACGTTTCATAATAACAACTTTTCGATTGTCATTTTAGTTTCAAAACGACATTCTTTTAAGCACTGAGTGCGTGAAAGTTACTTTTAGGCACTCAGTGCGTAAAAGTGACTTTTGAATGCGTAAAAGTGACTTTTAGGTGCGTAAAAGTGATTTTTAAGCACTAGTGCCTAAAAGTGTCATTCATTGTTCAGAAATAAAAAAACACACTAAACACAGATTTGAATTTTGATCTGTATTTATTATGAATATTAAAAATTAAATTATTGAATTGAACGTTTGGGCTACTCAAAACAGAACTTTTTGTTGTTACCTACTTTCCAGGATTTTAATTATTGATGTCGAATCTTGAAAAAAAATCGCATCAGATGTCAACCAAAAGCAGGTAACAAAGATTTTGGGCTTGATCGGCTTATTCACATGAAATAAAATTGTGTTTTTTTATTATAAAAGGCCACTAGAAAAAATCTTGTATGCAATACGTTACGAAACGATGTCTTTTAGTCACTCGACGTGTTGTCCAACTCGGCTTTGCCTCGTTGGACAATTTTCACCTCGCGTGCCTAAAAGACGCTCATTTCGTAACTTATTGTATAAATAGCTATTCAGAAATTGTCAGATGTACAACACAAGCAAGGTGTATAGGTGAACCATCATAAATTTCATTTAATACACTACATTGATAACATCTGAAATACATCTGACGAATTCTGAAATACAATTTACAATTTCTGATTTACAAATAAATAATCTTTTTTAATGGATGCAATGTTCGATTTTTATTGTCTACATTCATTCTACAACAATACAAGCTACATTGCAACCCACTGTTTCACGCGCATGTCGTGTTTTACTACTTCCCAACTTGTATTCATATGAAGTTTTCCCTGTTTATGCGAGACAGGTAAATTGCCTAATGTGTCATATTTTTCTATATTATTTAATTGCAGGTGGAAAAATGCGTTTTGTGTAAACTGCCACTTAGTGAGCGTGTGATTACTAAAAGTTCGTGAAAAATGACTGAAAACATTACTGATTGCTAGTGAAAAGCGTTGACGTTACGTGAAATTTTTAATAACGTGAAATAAAAAATAAAAAGTATTACAACCGGAAAAAAATCATACAAGTATCTACTATTTTGATAAAAGAAAAAATTATGTCTGAAGCTGTCGCCAGAACTGATCAGTGGGCTGAAAATTAAACACCAATATTTTTGTTCCTAGGGGGTCGTTCTATATATGAATAGATTTGAAATTTTATCACCTACAAAAAAATTGTTAAAGATATTTTTCGCCAAGCTTATAGTTTTGAATTGATCTCGGGGCAAACTTTCTTTTGATACGCCACTGGTGCGTACCACGTGATAATATATGGGCTCGCAGTACGTCGTTTCCATCAGGGGATTTGTCAGCTTCAAAAATGCTCAGCTGACATTTTTCCTTAAAGTGGATATAGTTTTCGAGAAAATCACCAAAATATTAAAAAGGGGTGGGGGGGCGTTTGGGGGGCGAAAAAAGGGGGTTGCGGAAGGAGGATTCTCCAGGACTTTTAGTATATTAATATTTAGCCCTAAATTATGATATATACCAAAAATTAGCTTTACATTATCTTTGTCTAGCTTCACCCAAAATTTGAACTATCTTGACTCGGGTACAAGATAGGTGTATAGGTGGCTCATTATAAATTTTATTTAATACACCACATTAATAATATCTGAAATACATTTGACAAATTCTGAAATACAATTCACAATTTCTGATCTACAAATAAATAATCTGAAACCCAAATGACGATTTCTGAAATATAAGTGACCAAACTGAAATACAAATGACTTTTTCTGAAATACAACTGACCAATCTGAAACACAAATAATGTTTTCTGAACTACAACTGACAAAGTTGAAATACAAATAACACTTTCTGAAATTAAACTTACACAACTGGAATACAAATCATGCATTCTGAACTAGAATTGATGAATCTGAAATACAAGTGAAACATTCTGAAATACCTACTTATGGAAAAGGTGTAGAATATAGAACCTACCTGTAGAACTAAATTACGAAAACTGCACTATAAATTTTGAAAACTAAATTAAGAAAACTAACTGCACCCTCCCATATTTTGATATTTTTTTTGAAAAATTGAAAATTTTGAAACTTCTAGGATGAATTCATAAGAAGGAAAGGAGCTTATGAAACTGAAATTTCAAATGGTTCCTGAACAACAACATGAGAAATTCCAGAAAATCTACTCTCAAAAACTAAATTAGGAAAACTGCACCCTCTCAAATTTTGTTGTTTTTTTGAAAATACCAGTATGAGGAGAAAATTTTGAAACTCTTGGCGTGAAAAGAAGAAGACAAGGGGTTCATCATACTGAAATTTCAAAATGATCCTGTGTCTAACAACAATATAAAAAATTCTGAAAAATCTACTTTCAAAAACTAAATTCAAAAAAAATGCAAACTCTCATATTTTGATGTGTTTTCAAAATACCAGTGAGGAGAAAATTTTGAAACTTCTGGGGTGAAAAGAAGAAGAAAAGGAGCTCATCATACTGAAATTTCAAATTGATCTTGTGACTAACAACAATATGAAAAATTCTAGAAAATCTAATTT